TTGCCGATGCGTCAGACCTCAGTTTGTCGAGCGGTTTGGGTTGGGAATATTGCCGAAAATCTGAGGGATTTGAAGGATTCAAATCCTTACGAGGCGATATGTTTTTATTTAAATCGTTTTCATCTGTGAGCAGATGAAAATTTTAACATTAATCTAAGAAACATTTTTTTAAACTTGGTAATCAGATGTAGTAGGTACCAAACGAGGTGCCCAATGAATCGAAACTAGTACAATAAGTACCTATCTACTTTCATTTGATAGTACGTTATAAGTATGTGCTAAGTATGAGTAGATAAGGACTAGCTTCCTTTTCTCAGGAATAATTTCCCTGGTGGCAGGGATATTATTCTGTAAACTCTCATGGATATCGGATACTACGCCTAAAAAATATAACTCCCGATTAAAATTGTAGTGGAATTTTCTGCGTTATTAAGTCTATGTTAGAATATTTAAGAAGACAATTTTATAGTGATTCATCATATAATTCACTAAACTGTTACAGATTAGATATAGCGCAAATAGCTGAGCTTGAAATGGCACAATATTTTTGGGCAAAAAGATTTTTTAGAAGTTTTTTAGGTTTAAGACTAAATGTGCTTGAATAAGAAAACACGTGGGACATAAATGTAGTGTCGAAACCTTACCAATAAATTAGCAGTGTTACTGGTCTTATATATTGGTTAGCACATTCAAATTTTATAACCATAGAGATACAGAATTTTCAGGAAAAAACAAGAAATTCAGATAAAGGTAACAAAAAAAGTAAAGGTATCAGCTAACAATAGAGTTTATCCCATGTTCAACCTTCATTTATCTTTTATATAAACCCAAGTATTTGCGTAGCAACAACCTTGTAAGAGTATATAGAAAAAATTAAAGACCTAAGGGGTAATTGTGGTAGCTTCTGTTCTTTATAATTAGGAAGTCGCATCATGCTGCCTCTACGCAGACCATCAGCTGATGGATGAAGTTCATTTTAAGTAATTGATATGGATCAATTTTTCCTCTTAGTGTACATGACATATCTCTACATCTTAAGTTTTCTAGAAAGTGGGTCAATTATGACAATATAATTTTTTAACTTGTTTAACTTGTAATTAGTTAAATATAAATAAAATGTTTTATCGTAATGTTTGTTGCAACATGCTTTAAACAGCGACAATATATCTTATTTACGAGACGAGGCAGAAATATAATTATAAGATCAAACGAACTTACCTGAAGTGAAGTTCGATCTTAATTATATGTATAATGAAAATTGTTCAAATTTCTTAAATCTATATTTTCAAAAATTCATACTTATCCTTATTTTTATTACTAATTCTTTCTTTGGCCTTAATCATCCAAAATTTTCTTGTATCGACGGCTTGAGTTTCATTTACTTTCTTATATTAGATCTTCATTGAACTTTACAGTTCTTTGGAATAGTAAAAGGATTCTTTTTATGTCAATACATGCCTATAACATAGCTTTATTTTTATATAATTTTAAAATACAACTGGACCATGTTATTAAATTATTTACCCATCTTCGTAATATTTACGACACATTAGTATTAACGTGTATTAAAATCATATTAGGGTTAAATAAATTATTATTAACACGTTGACTGCCAACTACGAGATATTTTGTTTGTGGAACTTCTTAAAACAACCTTCCACACAAAGGCTTTACAGGCTGGACAGAAATAACGCGTTTTCGGCGTTTTTTGCTTGGGTACACATACGACATGGTATGTCAGACGCTGTTTTTTTCAGTAGGTGGTAGACTCTTTAAATAATGAAACTATTGCAATTTAATTATTTTCGAAACCAAAAATCCCGTCAAATTCTGAATCACTTTGATTTGCGTTGTACTCAATTTAATTTTGAGTCAGTGGTCTTTTATTATCCATATTATTGGGTTCTTGATAATTTATTTATAATAATAATTATAAAACAATACACTCAAGAAAGACGTAAATGTGATGCAGTCAACAATTTCTTAGATACTACTGACGAATATGGATGGGATGCGTATCTATGATTTAGCTTTAGAGAAGCGACAGGTCTAAGCGCGTCTGCGTACGAATTAACTCGTAGTTGGCTTCCTCGAAGAGATTTCTGTTACAGAAGCCAACTAAGAGATAATTCGTAAGACCTTTTTTTAAAAAATACACATTTTTTATTCTTTTTGATATTAACTATGCACTATAAAGTTTTTAATAATGTAAATAAATAAAATTGTTATTGTAGGCCAGATTTCTGAAAATTGCCGTGGCATTCAACGTGTTAATTAATTATTTCTAAATAGGTAAAAATGTCAGCGCACCCACCAACATTTTAAATAATAATTATTACGTAACTTGTAGGATCCTTCACCAAATTTTTAAATTTATTACGTAATATAATGTGAAATATTTATTATTTATTACATAAACCTGGAAACATGCAAAAAAAATTATCTGTTTTTACGGCAGATACTGTCAGGTTTTCCATTTTAAATATACTATTCAAATTAATAATAATTATTATAAATATGAACACATTTTCAGCGTCTCTACCAAAATTGAAATATCAGTTAGATAGTAAAATCATTAGAGAGTTGAAGTGATGTTATAAACGTATACGTTAAATTTGACATCTGCGCATGCCTATTAAAATATCCTTCACGTTTACGTCTACGTACATACGTAAACTTACGGGCTCTGGCGTATACACGTAACGCAAACAAAATAACCTCTTTTTAATAGGAATAGTAGAAATCCTAATATAATATGTCATTAATTGTCATTATTTGTCATGATACGTAAATGTCACGATGCGTTTAACAACTTCAACTCATATTTTGTACAGCAACGTAAACATTATTTTTCTGCGTTCACGTTTACGTTAACGTACTGAAAATACTTCAACTCTCTATTTAGTACCAATATTGAAAAATATTGCTTCTTTACTATACAACATTTATATTGAAACTTAATTTCTATCGACAAAGTCCCGCTATTTATATAAAAATTTATCGGCTAGAAGAATCTTAAAAGCGTCCTCCACGCATCAAACCGCATAAAGCAAAAATTCCAGCATTAATATATCGAGTCTTCGTGGTGGACAGCAGCGATTGCCAACGCCAGATTTTATGTCGCGTAAACGTAATAGACAACAGGGTCGGCTTCGCCCAATACAAAAGCGGAAAATTATAGCAATTCGTGATTTTTTTTTATATTTCTAACGCCGATTTGTTTATCTTCTCCTACAAAAGGTTCTAAAGAATTCTCAACCAAACAGAAATTTCTATAATACATCAACTCTAAGAATTTATTGTAGTCATTGAATACGAAGTTATGTTGAGTCAAATCTAGAATGTCAGCAAAATTATTTAGGCTCTTTAATTTAGGAAGACCGGGGGAGGGGGGTGATATAGCAAACCAAAGTAAAATAGAAAAAATGTTGCTTCGAGCGGGATTCGAATTCGCGATCTCTGTATTGCCTTTCCAATGTCCTGATCGCTGGACCACCTGATCAGTAAGTATTTAGGGTCTACTTGTAAATTTGAATATTCAGATTCGATCCCGACTCAGGTTATCATTCTATAGTCACCTATATTGGCATCGTCGAAAGTAAATATCACATCAGATGCATCAAATCCCTCGGTTCGTAAAGGTGTTAAGATACTAACGGAAACGCCGTTAGCGCAAATAACAACTCCTGGATAAAGGACCTGGACAAAACGAGGGATTTGATGCACGTGATGTGATGTATCTTTGCCCAAATGATGTAGCAAGGATTCGAGCCCCGCCTAGAGCTTAATTTTTTCAATATTTCTGTAGTTTGTTATCCCCCGATCTCTCTAGTATTTGTTTCGGCAATTTAAACACGCACTTTTTCAATAAGCTTTCACTTTATTCCTCATTTTCAATATTTCATTTAGGATTTGTTTGAATGTCAGATACATAATCAGATATGTTAAAATTATCTACCGTTTATAAAAATTTCGTACGTCCATGTCGTATCGATATATCAGACGGTCGCCACCAGGACCTTTTTCCAGGTACAAGTTTTAAAAATGTATAAAAAGAATTCCATTCATACACACTATTCTGTTTCACTCGCTTGAAAAAACCACAGTTAACTATTATTTTTCCGGAGAGCGTTGTTTTGCTTTATGTAAACAAAATATCCGATAAGACTAAAATTAATATCTCAAAATGAAATTATTTCATATTTAATTTTTATGGTTGTATTTATATTTTCTGTTCAATTAGGGGATGTTTCTTTATTAATCAATTTGGAAGCTCTTCTAATAAGTCAAAAACATTATTCATCATGAAATACAATTATATAACCATCACATTCGCAACATCATGCACACTCATCCTGTTTAAATGTCCGAGGTCAGAGTTTTTACGACAGGAATGTAGTGTTTCATCTTGATTATCTTTGGTTATACCATCTTATAGCAGAGTCCAGTGATCTTGAAGTCTGTGGGTGGATCCCAGAGATAACAGAAGATAAAATAAAATATTCGTGGCGCCAACATTGATACCACAATCGATAGGTCCAGTTGTAGATGAGGAGTAAAGAGACATATGGTGAGAGATAAGGGAAAAGATAAAGAGACGGATTTGACGGCGGTACAAAACAATTTTATTAATGAATATATGTATAAGCCGTTGTAAGCCTATAATAAACAACCATGTTGCCACATCTAATTCAAAATACTTGACATCCAACTTAAAATTAATTAGGTTTTGGAATTTATTGAAAATTATTACATCTAACTTAGTGAAATTATATCTAATTTACTTAATGATTCAAATTTTTTTGGGTACAGTTTCAATATACCGCTGTGTTCCTTAGAATATGTCTTATTCACTACAGCACGATATTTGTTTATAGTCGCATCTCCTGTTATCTCTGGTGGATTCTTTCAAATGGAACCAAATATTCCCAATTCATCTTCTGATTTAATATAATAATAATAATACTAATAATTCTATAAAATATTTTATTAACATTATTTCCTTAACAACATTTAATTATATATTACAATTTTTCTTATGTCAGAAAATTTTTCTTGCTAGTATTATAAAGTTCAGTGATTATAAAAACCCTGATCTTGCTCATCAGCTCATCAGCTTATCCGTTGCAATTCCCACAAAAAAAAAATTAAAAGATCATAGAAAACTTCATAACAGTCATTACGTTTGACGCACGTCGATAGTATCAAAAAAGTCGAGAATTTCACAAGAGTTGCGTCAAATGTCTAAAATTTCATACAACATATAATGAGTACCTATATGAAGTAAAATCAAATATCAAGAACGTTCCAAAATGCGTCAAAAAAGTCACATACAGTATGAAATCATAATAGTGGTGAAGTTTGCTACGATCTATTCGTGAAATTGGTACCATTATCTGTCCAAATTATTCAGTTTTCCTCTTCTTGAGCGACGGCTTATGGAACACCGGTTTGATTCCAGCTGATTGCTGTGAATGGAATTTAATATTCTGCGCGTTTTCCATGGACCACGGAGAATCGAACTGTGTTGTATCCTGATCGACAAGATGTGTGTATTTCGTTCTGCCTGATCTACCAAAGTTCTTAACCTGCATAACTTTAGGTAAAATCGTTTTATCAAAATGATCTTCAAGGGTGGCTTGAGCGAAGTCTCGCTTGTATACGTCGTCGTCTTTATCCAGGTAGAAAGCACCTCTGTGATAGTATTTTTGTAAAAATTTATATTTTCCTTTGACAGCTTTGTTGGTTACTGTCTTGGGTAGTAATCTCAACTGAACACGTCGTTCTTCTTCTGACATATTTCTTAGTTTCTCGATTTCTACCTTTTCCTTTTCTAACGCTTCTCTTTCCTCTCTGTCTCTCTTTATTCTCTTCAATTCTCTCAGTTTCCAAGCTTCGTATTCGATTTCGTCGTTTTCATCGTCTGTACAAACATCGTTGATGTTGGGTTCATTTGTAGTTTTATCCTTGTTTTGTTCTTTGCGAATCGTGTCTTCTACCATCTTGAGCGTTTGTCTTCGACGTTCTTCCGCTTGCCGTTGAGTGTCCTCTTCGAGTTTCTTCTGTTTTAGGGCTTCTTTTTCTTTCTCGATGATGGTGATTCGTTCTTTTTTTCTGACGAAAACCGGCTTCAATCTAGGACCTGTAAAGAAATATATGCTTCAAAAATTACCTACAGTAAATCTTGTAGTCCAGTCTATGGGAGGTTGGAGACGATTATCATACGTGACTTGCTTCGAGACAATTTTTCGTGCACCGCCGCATGCGGCGAGGCAAATGGGCCGTTTTGGAAACCACATTGCCTTTCTGTTGATGTCTTATCCATCAGTACAGAATTTGGCCTGTCACTATAGTTTACGTTGCGTTTTAAACAGTTGTTATAACCTCAAATATGATATACAATACTTAAACAAATATATAAATGGAATGGAAATAAATTCCAATATATAAAAAAAATGTATTCCAGTGCTTGTTCAATTTTATAAAACAAGACATAATAAATATACAAAGTAGACATTTTAGTTCCTAAAATTAATAAATAATATGATAACAAGAAAATTCAAAAATCACTACTTATTACTTTTACCACTTGTTTGCCTAATGATCTTGTAAAAATATCGAATTTTGTGTTTTTCAACTGTTTTTGAGCAAATTAACTTTTAAAAATTTATTTTTGTAATTAATATTTGAAAACTTTTGCTTCTAATGTTTTCAGAAATATTTAAACAGATTTGGTAAGTGTTCTCAATAAAACAGAAAAATATTTTCTACATCATTGTCTGTTACTTTAGATTGCAAGGTGTAAAATTAATATTTCATTCCTTCACGAAAAGGAATGATTTAATTTCAGCTACAATTAAAAAGAATGGATAAATCGTTGGATATGCGCAGATACTTTTAATCAATGATATACAAGGTACTCAGTCTTTAGCACAATTACAATGACTCGAATTTTGTATTTCTTCAGTTGGTTGTAAAAAATATATTGTAAAGCTCTATTGAATTGTCTGTATCTCACTGGAACAATTAGGCATTCCAACGACTTGTCCAAATGGCTACCAGTGGGATCTGACAGTTTAGATATGGCAACCCTGTTGGCATGTTGTTATTAACAGGGTCAATGATACATATATATTTACATAGATTATTCAAAGCGGGTCGTTTTCGAACGGCCAAATTGCCTGGAAAGTGTTCATTAATTTGAATTGATTTAGCAAAAATGTGTTTTAAAACCAATTTTCAGCCGTTGAATGTAAAAAAAAAATAATTTCCTACATTTTTACTTCAAGGTATTCGCTCCGTGCGAAGTCATGGAAAGGGAAGCAAAAGCGATACTAGCGCTAGCTGCGGATAATTCGTGCATTTTAGGGCGATATTTTGTAATTTTGGCATATCAAATACACATACATTTAACTTTTTTTTCAAAAAAGTAGGTAAAATCAACACAATAAGCAACCGGAGTTGCTGTGTTGAAAATTGTACAAATACTAGCAAAAAAAACAGTGACACTTATATAAAAAATTTCACTAGCAAAGTGGAAATTAAATCAAAGAAATAAATGGATTGGTGTACAATAAGAAGAAAAATTACCTTTATTTTTGTGATAATAACAGTAATGCTGGAAATAGTAGACATCAGAAACTTAAAAGGTTTTAAATAAACAAATTATCATTTTATGATGTTCTTTAATATCCATTTATTCTTAAATGTTCATTCAGCAAGGACTAGATTTCAAGATTTCTTGCTTTGATTATAATATGTGGCTGGAATGCAATTTTGTGACTTACTGATGGGAAACCAGTTTTAATCATTCATTCTATGTTTTCTTTCGAACAAAAATAAAAATATAAATAACAACCCTTTTTTATACATTTTAACTTCACGCTAATATTAAATGGTATTTTTTTATTTTGACAAATAGGCATATTCTTCAATAACAACTAATTAGACTTAGGCAACTTCTCATACATTCTCCAGTAAATACTGTTGCCTACCTATATTTTATTATTAATTTTTATTGATTATACATAATTTTCTTTAATTTAAGCGGGAGAAATATATAATAACAATAAATTAATGTTTTACTTGTTTTACAAATATATTTTATTAAAACTAACATATATACTTTTTATTTACGAATTCTATTAAAAATTGTATTTGTCGCGCACGGAGCGAATAAGCTTATATGTTTATTTTTAAAACCATGGATGATCAATCTATATAACTGTCTATATCATTGACCCTATCAAACCACCAGGCTCACAGTGTTGCCATGTTATAACCTGTCATGTGCCTGTCAGTGGCCTGTCATTTCAAATTCAAACGGGCAGCCATTTTGTTTGGAATGCCTAATAAAGCCTACTGACGTATGGATCAAACTTCAGACCTCAAAAATGCTGTCAATAAAATTTTAAATTACAATCAATATTTTTTTTAAGTAGTTTTTTATGTCCATGGCCTTTAGTAATGTTTTTATAACTTTATTTTTTTATATATTGGTTGTAGAAAGTCTATACGGTGTAACTTTTCGCACTTTGTTCTCAAGCAAACTACTTCTAATTTTATTTTTATGATTCACAATCAACTTCTATTTTTTATGTTTACTCTTCTATGTTTTCTTCTGAAATAATATCAAAAATTGCATTGTAAATAAATTATTATATTTATACAAGTATTTATTTTCTGTTACGAGAGATATTACAAATTTCTATAAAGTCAGCCACTACTAGTGACAACGTAAATAGAGGCAAATAATTTTTTTGCTAAAATACCTTATTACAAACCCGAAATTTTGACATTAGAATCATTATTTTTATACATATTTCTATAAAAAATGTATTAGATACATAGATTAAAAAAAGTAATAAATGTACAGTTAACAAACATACTAGATTCGGTACCAATGTTAAGAAATAAATTTACTAAAAAACTATGGAAATTTCAAATTTACATTGACAAGATTATTAAATACTAGAGAGATATTGCAAATTTCTGTAATGTCAGCCACTAATAGTGACAACTTAATTAGGGGCAAATAAAGTCCATGCTAAAATAAACCTGATGTTTTTACATTAGAGTCCTTGTCCTTATACAGATTGCTAACTTCATTTTTAAAATTTTAAATCATGGTTCATCTTTGTTGTCTATAATAGTACATACCTGTATATAACATGTGTAATAATTATAATGATATTAGTGAACAGTTGGATATATTTAATTGCAGTGTTAAAAACATAAAAACACATTGTTTAAAATAATTCAGAATTTATTTACTGTAATTTTAGATTAATTATCTATATGCTTTTTGTTAAACTGTTTTCTTTCAAATGTACTCCTGTTCTGTAATTGGGTTTAACCTGTTGAACAATGTATAAATAAATAAATAAATAATATGAGATTTATATGATGAATGATGATATAAAATATTTAATATTAGAAAACTTTAAACTGATAGGAATGTTGGCTAGCCACCTGAAAGCTAATAAAGTCACACTATTTGCTGCAGTTAAATATCCACTCAAGGACAGACACACTATCTTTAATAAAGTCAGTTCTAGAACTTAAATGATCTGTGCATGCTTAGATGTCAATATAAGATTGACCACTGACTTTAATTGAACTTGCAATATCTCTCTACTATTTAAATAAAACAAAAAGGAAATTAAATGGATTTTGTAATTCTACAAATAGGATGATTTATTGTCAGTTGAGAAAACGTTAATTAGTAATGATCTTTTATTTCTTTATAACCTCCTGGATATGTTGGAGCTAATAAACTTTAGATTAAACAACATAAATATTAGAGAGAAACCATTATTTTCAATTAGCTTCCATCATATGAACTAGGTACTCAACAGTCCTTTAACCAGATTTCAAAGGCAAGGAAATGAAATTAACAGACACACTGATCTTTTGGAAGTTAGTCAGTTTAGGTTTAAAAATCAGCTGAGTTAGCTTTGCTAGTTTTTTGTGATATTTAAGTTTTTTTTTCTTTTTTGTGTGATACTTTAGGTTAGGTTTAAAATATCTACTGATAATAATTATTTTGTAAAAGATTTTCTGTAAATAAATAAAATAAAACTCAAATTGAACTAGATCTAATACAATGGTACTAGTTCTGGCAGCACTGAGAACTAGTATAAAAACAAAAAGTACTAGATTCATACAAAAAATAATGTACTTACCTGTTTCTTCTTCTGACTCAGAATACTCTTCATATTCAGAAGATTCATCTGAAGACGAATCCTTCTCATCCTCTTTCACCATAAATTCTTCATCTTTTTTAGTTAACATTTTTTGTTTGAGCATATCCCTCTTTTTTTCAATTTCGCTGTCACTAAGTTCAGCTTCTGATTCATCTTCATCAGGTCCCGCTTCCAGGGTATGTTTGTATTCTAAAAACGGATAAATAATGATAAAGTTGTAATTAGATTTATTAATATGTACCAGAGAGATGAACTTCTTCAGATTCCTCTTCATCATCAGATGATTCCAATACTTCAGGTTGAAGAACGTGTCTTCTTCTTTCGGGTCGAACTTCTACATCAGCCTCGATTATTCTTAATCTTCTCAGACGTGGATCATTCATATCATCTTCAGCTCTGGTTGGTTCGGGGGATGGTGGCAAAGCCAAATGAGTTCTTCGTTCAATAAAATCATCTTCACCACTATCACTATCTGAATGCGCTTCCTGGGCATAATCGGGCCTTTTTCCAGATATATATCTATGAACTTTTACTTTTTGCATAGAAATTTCACCTAAAAAATGTATCAAAAGCTGTACTTTTATGAAACTCAATGAAATAAAGTTTTACCTTTCTCATTTTTTACAGGGACTGCGCCCGCAGTACTCTGAATAGCATAAGCTAACTGAGAGTTCATCATTTTGGAGAATAAATATTATTTAACACTAAAACTTATTAAATTGTCTAAATCAAAACATTAAAACGTCAAATTTAATTGACATAACCTCATTATGACCTATCAACTGTCAATACCAGACAAATACCACAGAACTGAAATTTCAGTTCATATACCAACGAGGTATATTGATATATAGATTGATCATCCATATGTATATTACCATTGTATAAATAATAGGTCTTTTCCTTTGCATCGAAAGTGTAGCACTGGGCTACACCAATTCTGAAAATATCGTTCCATATATACAAATTGTATGGATGGAACGATATTTTCAGAAGTGACGTAGCTCAGTGCTACACTTTCGATGCAAAGGAAAAGACCTATTACAATACGAAAAGTGGGTTGATTTCACTGGGCGAAGTTTTCTCTAACTAATGCATACATGCAATGTTTTATCTCAGTTGTGTTGTTATCTGATAACGGTTATGTGTACGCAGTTTTAAATAAATCATTTACATACCCGGTTTACAAATAATAATCTTTGTTTAGTTTTTAGTTGAGATTTTTTAGTCAATAGCCTTGGAAAAATTCACGTATGTCAGAGCGCACAGTTTTTCTTCTTTTCAGGTGTCAATTTGGAGTTCATTCAGAGTCGTACGTAGTTATCACGAATATGACTCGTATCTCTGTTCTCTTATGTTTAAAGTTGTCTAGACTATTATCCACTTTTTGGTTTATACACCTTTACTTCTTAATAATAGTAACAGTAATATTTTTTCTACGACATAATGGCCCAGGATTAATAAAAGGGTTTAAATATAATATGAGTTTTAACGTTTTATGTCGCAACTTTTTAAACATTCACACCGTTAAAAAGTTATATTATAAATCCTCTTACCTTTCCGTTATTATTAATTCCGGAATAATTCACATTTATTTCCGTAATAAATTATTGTAATTAAGTTAATTGTTAAAATGTACAAAATTTAGCGAATTTCTGTAAAATCCACAAAAAGCAAAACCAGTAAATAATACAGATCAGTGAGATTTGAACCTTTTGCGTCTCATGATTTAAAATGGCAAGAATAAATTTCAATAAAAATAAGGTAAGTGTCCATTATATACCTAGTATGGTCTTAAAATTATATCATATCTTACCAAAGTTGTTTATATATCTTATCAAAGTTGTTTACATTCATTTTTAAAGTTTTGTAGTGCATTATGTTTCATATACTGTTATTTATGAATCTAGAGTGGTTAAAATTGTTTACATATATGTTATAAAAATTGTTTAGATTTCTTAATATTTTTTGACTATATGAAAATTAAACTAAATTAGTTTTAAAATACATTTTCGCTAAACTGATTCTGATTATTGAACACTTGCGAGACAATATGGCCTCTCGCACAGCATCCCTCTTGAGTAATCGATATAAAAATATATCATTGACTCTGTCAATGCCAACAGGGTTGCCATATCATAACTAACGGCCAACATTTTGAAAGGCACTGAACTGTAACTGTTACAGTGTAGAGTTCAGTGACTAAAACAGGAACACAACCCTGTTTTGCTCGTTTAGAATTTCGGAACGTACTTTATTCTAAAAAACCAAGCCAAGCCATCAAAAGCGTCACTCTCCAATCAATAAAGTCATTTCCCGCTTTGTTTTGCAGTCGTCATTGGTCGCTCTAGATCACGTGCAACTTTCCGATTTTTTCATTTGTGGCAATTGCTCATTGGCGCCATTATTGTTGCGTTGGGTACATCTCAGTTAATCTTGGCAATCTAGCTTTCGGGAGTTGTCGTCTGGTATACTTATATTACAACAAGGACTAGAAAAATGGTAAGTTTGCAGTAAAAATAGTTGGATTTTGATTCAGATATATATATGAAATGTAGTTAGTTGTAATAATAACCAAATTAACCAGCATTATCTGTAATGGAGGTAAACAAAATGTAACGTTTTTAGGCTGGTGGTAAAGCTGGTAAAGATAGTGGAAAAGCCAAGGCGAAAGCAGTATCACGATCGGCTCGTGCTGGATTACAGGTAAGAATACATTTATTTTGATACATATATTTTTTTAATTACTAATTAGATTTAGATGTTTCATGTTCATGTAGGTTATTTTTTCATAACCCTTTATCGGAAATACCGTTACGAATTCAAAATACCGCTTGTATTTTATATTATAAAATTTTTGGATCTTTTCCTGTTTGTATTTGTTATTTTAGTTGATAGTTATTTCAAAAGCATTAAAGTTTGGTGAATGCAAAATGTAAATGTTAAGTTTTCATTTATCATAAAGCAAATAATTTGTAGAAAATGGCTCGATATGGCTTCTTGTGCTCTGTTTAAATAGTAAAACATTACCTATTTTTTTTCTTGAACAGGGAATTTGTATATTTAAATAATTTTCTTAAAATTGTAACAGTTGCAACATATATTGGTATTTCTGTAGTTATTAGAGTAAGAATTGGTCCAAAGCAAGATTATCTTGTAAATTTATAACTTTTTAGTTGCATGTTAAATACCAAATGTTATTTTTCATTTAAAAGTACATATGGTAAAAATGTACAAGTCTCCTACCATTTAAATAAATATTTTTATAATTTATTACAAAAAATATCAATTTTATTCAAAAGTTTGAAGCATTTCATTAACAATATTAAAAAGATAGTCAATAGCTTCAAAGGAAGGAATCTAGATTATGCTCCATTGATTCATGATTTTGAATTGTAATTAAAAGGCTAAGGATTTTAGGCAAGGTTTCATTCATTAAAAAAATGAATTTTATAATACAATAATGAATTCTGGTCTACTGTGATATTTAATTTTCTACTTATATGTAACTGTCTAATTTGAAAAGTTATAAGAAAAATCTCTTGCCACATGTCCTTCACCATTTATTCAAAATAGTTATATATATATATTTTTTTTTTAGTTTCCAGTAGGTAGGATTCATAGACATTTAAAAAATAGAACAACCAGTCATGGACGTGTAGGAGCCACAGCTGCTGTCTATTCAGCTGCCATTCTGGAATATCTAACTGCTGAAGTAAGTAACATTATAGGCTTAAGACACTTTAATCCTTACAATATAATTTTACTTAAAAGAAATTAACATTTTCCTAGATAATTATAGTTTTGAAAATTTTTATATTATTTATTTTTCATTTTACTTATTTTTTAATTTAACTTTCTGCTAGAAATTGTTTAAAACTAATTTGTTTTGTATGTATTTTTTTCTCTTATTTATTTTTGAACCCATTCAACTTAAGTTAAGAGATGGATAATAAATTTAATTCCCATTTCCTGGAAGGTAGAAACTAATACTCCTTTAATTACAAGATTATGTGTAGTAAAATATTATAAATAGGTATAATTGTAATAATCTTCTAAGAAATTTAGGTAAAAAGCCTACCCTTAGGAGGTAATCCAACAATATAAGCTTAATGAGTAATCCTGTTTGGCCTCTCAATTCATCTGAATATATTTTTTTCATGTATGTTCAGTGATCATTATTTACCACATTGTCTGATATCTAGGATTCTTTTTTGTTAGAAAGAGGGTACACCTCAGGGGACCCATGTAAATTTTTTCAAGATATGATGGAATCTATGAGAAAATGATAATTTTTGGAGTCATTAATATCTGTAAATTACAAGTATTATTTCACAATTTGGCAATCTTTATTTTAAATTTAAATACCTGATATATATTATTTTTGTTAAGATTTTCTTAGGTATAAAGGTTTTAATATTAAAGAATGGACATTAAACTTATATGTAACTATAGGTTCAGAATATTGTATTTTACTGAAGTACAGGGTGCCACAATTAAAAATTTCCACATTCTAGTAAAATAAACAGATAATGGAATGAAATATTTTTTAGGTGCTTGAATTGGCAGGAAATGCCAGTAAGGATTTAAAAGTGAAGAGAATCACACCTAGACATTTGCAATTGGCCATCAGAGGAGACGAAGAATTGGATAGCTTGATAAAGGCAACAATTGCAGGTGGAGGTGTCATCCCCCACATCCATAAATCCCTGATCGGAAAGAAAGGGGCACACTCCCAGCCGGCTTAAATAAAACAAAAAAAAAATGTATTTAATACACTTAGTAATATTATCAAGACTTGAAAATGTGTCTAATGATGTGTTTTAATATTATTGGGCACGTGTTCACAGAATGAATGCAAGGCAATGCAATATCCATTGTATAATACTTATTACAAAAAAATCTGACTTCCTGTCACAAACGACAGTTTTTATTTTCCTCCTTTTACATACCTGATAAATTTCCGTTAATGTGCCTTGTAATTTAAATTTAGTTTTGGTTGTTTTTTTGTGTACTTTTAGCGTATAGTTGGATATACATTATAGAATAAAAAAAAAATGTATTTTGTGTTCAATTAATAAAATAATTTTCTTACATTTTTTGTTATTTATTTTTCTTTGAACTCTTTTAGAGGTAAGTATTAATCTAGGTTGTTTGTGATTTTGAATTCTTGATCTATTGGAAGAATGTTTTGGAATTCAGGGTATTTTACACAAAATGTTGGTATTTTTTGCTTGGTTTAACTTGGTTAAAAGAAAAAAGTATGTTCTGAAGCTTCTACAAACATTTGAAATGTACTTTAGTAGAAATCAAATAAGTTGTAAAAACAGTACTTAAAAGTATGTAATTGTGTTAAAAATATTACTGAAACATTACGGATTTAAGCAAGGTATATTAATCAATTCAAACTTATTTTTTAAATGAGACAGAAAAGTTTACAAAGGACACAATTTTTAAATGGTAATATTTCGGAAAAATTGTTTTAGGAGTTCCACAGGGATCTAACTTGGGCCCGTTACTGTTTTAGTAGTCTTATCTTCTTCCAGTATTTACTTTTTGATATTCAGTTTGCGATAAAAAAAGATAAAATTCAATATATGAATGAAATCAGAAATAAATTAAATTTTAATATAAAAAATGCTATCTGCAAAAACAATATTTTAATATCAAATGCATAGCGAATTATTAAAGGTTACGGATTTAGGCTAGGGTGACCATACATCATTTTTTCAGTCTGTCTAGCATTTGATCTTTTATATAGCAAAACGAATTTGTCCAGTAAACGCAATTATTGTTCAGCAATGTAATACATAACAAATAAGACTAGGGGAGCTAAAAAAATGTCCTCAGGCCCTCGACATGATTTCTCTGGTTCCGTTTTTATCTTAAGTAACTAAAAAAAAAGGTTGTCACCTCTCCAAAGTGTCTAACATTGGGTCAAACGCGTAACTTTTATTAGCAAGTTATCGTCACAGTTTATTGCTAAAAAGAATCAGTTAGCTCACTCGGACCAGTTGGATGTTCCAAAATAACATCCACTCAAAGGATACAAATTCAGGATGCGCAGAAGACTGCTGTTTAAATATAGGCGGTTGTCATATATTGTATTGGTTATGATTTGATTCTGTATGCGCCAGGGATACAAATCTGAGTTGCGCAGGGTATAAACTGTGTTATCGTTTTCTCAATTATAAATTAAGCTTTATGTTACATTAGTACGATCCAAAATGGATTTTGCTTCAATTATATGGCATATAAAGTTATAATAGAGCAAATAGAAGAGCCGGAAGTGGCAGATACGATTCATATATCTACTAGTGCTGTACATCAGATCCGGATTTTTTTTTAATCCGGATCTGATCCGAATTTTCCTACGTGAACAATCCGGATCTATCCGAATGCGACAACCGGATCCAAGATACGGATCCGAGATCCGGATTCAAGAACCAGATACGCGAGCCTTTTATATACTGTTGCCTATTTAGTTTCTTTTTAGAAACATGAATACTCTCCCTTTCCCCGCAGATTAACCAATCAAGACCAAGAAGAAAGAACCGTAGAAAGCTCAAGTGTATTGGATTTTCTTTTCCCAAAACCGTCAGGTACTAAGGAGTTGAATGAAGTTGAAAAATATATTAAAGAGCAAGATTTCGACAAAAATAGATGTCCATTAAATGGTAAGAAGCAAATGAAAAAAAATCTTAAAATTATCAAATCTATCGAGAAAATTCATCTGTATTCCTGCAACCTTCACACCTTCTGAGAAGGTGTTTTGTGTTTTCTACAGCAGGAAATATTGTTCGGGCAAAGAGAAGTTGCCTCTCGTTTGAAAATATTGACATACTAGTATTTATATATGAAAATAAGAATGTATAGTATCTGCGACAACTCAAAATGTATTTATTTGTTTTGTATGCTTTAATAAAAATTAAAATATATCTTTTTGCAAATTATACCTCTTTTGTATGCCTACAACTTATACATTATCATACTTGTAGCTATCTATTAGCTATTGTCTCTTCCTATTTATCCGAAAGTAGGATTCGAATCTTAAATAAGAGTCAGAGAATTCGGATTTGAGATCCGAATTTGAAATCCGGATCTGAGATCCGAAATCCGAATCCGGTTCCTATATTTAAATCCGCTGACGGATACATCCGGATCCGGTTTTTTTCTTCAAGGATCCACGATCCGTTAAAAATTCGGATCCGTTCACCACTAATATCTACACCGACGGTTCTAAAACAAAACAAGGCTCGCGCGCATCAGGATGTGGAATATACTCCAAATTCTTAAACATAACATGGGCTGTGAGCAATAGTGCCAGCGTAGTTCAAACAAAGCTAACGGGGATTTTCATAGCAGCAAAATAAATAACCAGAAACAAAATCACTGGAAGGAACATGCTCATCTATACAGATAGCAGACAAGCATTACTCACCCTGAACAGACCACGAATTTATTCAGGGTTAGTACTAGAATGTCACGAAGCTTTGGCCGAAGTATCCATCAACAACGTAGTCTCTTTAAGATGGATTAAAGGTCACGCCACATCGAAAGGTAACCGTCTTGCTGATTCACTAGCCAAGAAAGCAGCCAACCAAATACTTTTTGGACCTGGCCCTTCTATTGGCCTGACAAAATCGGTAATCAAAGAACATTCCCTTGTGAAATTCAAGGAAAGATGGGATGAAACAAGAAACTGCATAGTTGCCGCAGGGAGCTCTTAATTAAGTTATCCTGACAACAATGCAGCAAACAAATACTTGACTATGACTAGACAGAATCTTCATATCATAGAGGGCTGTCGGAATCCGCACTCAGCAGAGGGTGCGAACAAGAAGATGAGACCATCGAGCTAATCCTTTACGATTGCTCGATGCTCTCATTTCTTAGAAGATTTGTATTCTGCGAGTATCGGCTAACACCGGCCGATATAAGAGAAGCACCTCTTGGCGACGTTGTCAACTACATTAAATCTGTAGGCTGGCTCACGAGCTAGGAAGTGCTTATCTTCTCAAGAGAATGCACAATGGGCCTAATGAGGCCTAAGTGCCGTGGAGTAACCCATCCTCCACACGTTACAGATTAGAGCTGTAAAAGTAACGAGAAAATCAATACCCGTATGTATTCGTTACTTCGGATCTGACTACCCGTATAAAAATATTCGTTACTCGTTACTTTCGTTACTGTGATACGAATCTACAGAACGCGCATCGTATGGGCCTCGCACACGTCTATGCAGATGCGGAATTGATGTCGGTAACTAATCGTACGTACGGATTGCTTCGGTTGTTAGGTTTTGGTACTGTCTAACAGATTAGCATCAAGGCCACACTCGCATTTCGCATCGCTCAACGGGCCATCTCGCATACCGAACCGGTGGTGGTATGTATTATCAAGTATTATTATTGTGCGTTATGCGACGATGCGGATGCGAGTAACGAAATTTAAAATGCAGTAACGAATTCGTATTTCGTATCTGACCGACTACCCGTTACTGAGTAACGAATACATACGGTTTGCCACAGCTCTATTACAGATGGCAGAGACAATATCAGAATGATTCTTAAGATATTTGTTTTAAATACTACTACCTACATTATTAGACCGGATTACAATGTTAGAACGGCACAGTTATATAAGGAATTTTAAAATTACTTCACTAAATTCTAGGCGTAAAATTACATATGTATTTTATTTCTGTATGAAATAATGACCAAATAATTGTCCGACGCGGAATACAAATATGTTTACTGTCTTTTACTTCAATAACAGAAGTTCTCTCATAATGATGATCAGTACGCAAAATATGACACCTAACTTTCGAAAACAATTTATTGCCCATATTTGCAATTTGGCTAAGTAAACTTATGCGTTGGTATTTACAACTCTTCCCTTCATCTATGTCTATAATTTTGAATTAATATATCAAATGACCGATTTCATTTTTAGAATCTACGAGGTATTTTCTATCAATGGTATATTTTTAACTAAATCGAAATCCCAAAATCCTTCCTAACGACTCAAAATAAAAACATTTTTCGGCAAAAAAATGTTTGGTCTCCGATATTCATGAAAATTTAGGTACATATAAGAGAAAGGAGAAATTTTAGTGTGTAGGCTGTTGCTATCTAGAACCGTTAAAATTTGTTTTCGTTTTCCTGAATTTATATATTCATGAATCGCCCTATAGATTTCATCAAACGTAAAACAAAAGTAATTGATTTAAGGCTCATCTTTATCTTTAGCTGATTAGTTATTAAAACTTAAATTAAAAAAAATGTCATTTTGCCACTTGACTAATTCAATTCCTATATCGGGCAAAGTATACTTTCTCCACCATTGTTAGTACATGTTATTTTTTACCAAAACAGAAATCTAATAATTACTTATATTGGCTACTCCTGAAATTTTATGCTCGATCACTGAGAGGGCGAAGAGGGAGGGAGGGTTTGGCTATGAAAAAATAAATAAAAACAATAAAGTGCATATATCAATTTAATGACACAAATAATTATCTAAATAACAATTATTACAAGTGAATGCATATTATATTATCAATTGGAAATAAATTTGCTAATTTAACGCGACATTAATCAGTCCTATATTACAATTAAAGTCAGCGAAAATTTCGATTTCATAAAACGTTAGTCAATATTAGTCCAGTAACCAAAAAGGAAGAAGAGGACTGTGTCAGATTCGGTAGTTCTCTGATTTTTTGTTGAGATGTTTATGATCTTGGCCCAATAAATTTATAAAGTTTTCGACCTTGAGCGCTGAACGCAATATTATCAAAAATACAGAACAGTCCAAAGATTTAGGACCACGTCATAATTTTTTAGTTGTCAAAATTTGAGAACAGAACCGTCTCTGTAAACCAAATAATTTCCAAAATACAGTTTTTTGAAACAGACAATGCTTCAATAGTTCGAAGATTTATCTGTAGGTTCCCTCACACCACTTCAGCGTCCATTGGAAAATGGACACAGAACAAAATATTGCTTAACATTTTACATTTAAAAAAAAAATTATAAATTTTGAAACCCTGTATTTTTGAAAATATTGGGTCTTAAGAGACGGTTCTGGGCTCAAATGGTAGCAAATTCAGTTTACTTTTAAAACGTATGGCGTATTTATAATCAAAAACTAAAGAAAGGTACAAAATTTCATGTTATAATAGACTTTTTTAGATTTTTGACATTGTTACGATCAGCGATCAAGGTTAAAAACATATTATTCATTGCTAAATCTGATGTATATAGTTAGTTACTGGACTATATCCAATATATTCTAATTCGTGGCGCATTGCACCCTCTGTCCTTGTCCGTGCATTTCATCATCTTCATCATATGCGTTCTTCTGAGAGTTCCTTCTGGCTTCGGATTCGGGATCGAATTCGACCAAAACGACCTCTTCGGCATTGTCGGGAATCATCGATTCCACACGTGGCGGAAGAGCGTTTTCTAACGCCGGAATTACCTCTGGAGGTATGGATTGGGGAAATTGGACCCAAAATTGGACGATGAGACGTCCTTTTTCAAAGGGGTTCTTATATTGTGGCATGCCTGAAACAGACAAACTTGAATCAATGCACACGAAATGGCCCATGTACTTTTACAGGAAAACGATATCTGGTTGTTAATGGTGTAATTATTTTGAATAACTAATTTTGTGTGTGAATTGCTGAATTTTATTTTTTTCTTAAGGTTTAAATAAAATTTCATAGCTTATAACTAAAAGATAAAATATACATTCAGCATAAGATAGATTTTTGGTTTTTATTTTAATAAAGAAGTAAAAACTTATTTTTTAACAACACTCTTCTGAACAAGTAGATGCCAGAGAAGTCGCGGTGTAATTTTAGTTTTTTTATATATATAGAAAGTAAGCAAAGCCTGTATTATTATTTATTACAATGGTAGCTGTAAAAACCGAAATTACAAAAAAATAAGATGGAATCATATTTTACAAGTAATATACTGTGCGTTTCGTAATTAAACTGCAAAAATTTTGGAGGTGGGACATAAAAATAATTTTTTTTTTATTAATATATGCCCGAAAACGCTTCATTTCTGAAAGGAATTACACACAAAAATATTAACGCCCATTAGAAATTTGCAATTTTCATAATTTTTTTGTTCAAAGCAACTAAATGTAATCTTAAAATACAAACTTTTTAACGTCTCTGAAGCAAGTATAAATAAAATCCAAGAGCAAGCGAGAAACAAATCTATAAAATATTATTTCAGCAACAACTTGCCCAGTAGTACGCCTATGGAAATTTTGGATACATGCTAACACCCTATATTTCGGAAATAAAGCATTTTCTGACATAAATGTTAATTATTTTAATGTCCCCTTCCACCATAAAAAGTTTGGAAGTATAGTTATGAAACACCCAATAATTAAATTTTGAAAATGCTGACTATATAATCGCAATGACGATCAATAACCTAGTAAAGTTAAGTGGCACTTGCATTGCACACACAACTAATTTTAATATACTCCATACTGATATTCAAATATGTTAAAATTTTGCAATTTAGGTCCTCTCTGTCGAGATATTTAATTTAAAAAGAAGAAGAAAAACTTATTTTTTACTTATTATGAATATTTATAATAAAAATCATATATTCATTAAATACGAATTATTAATATCGAGACATTATTCATTTAATTAAATTCTGATTACGCAACTAAGTGGATATCTGCAGTTACGCGACCTCTCTCCTTTCTAGTCTAAGTTTCACACGTTGGCTGCGTGTGTTATGACAATAACGGAATAAATATGAATAAAAATATAGAATATTAATGATTTTTATACAATAATTTGGTAATCGGATTCCTATTAAGCATCATCAAAAACCACCATAAATCAAATTTGAAAAAAATACTACAATTATTTTTCTAGAAATGGGATGTTTTTTCAGAATCAGATTGGTTTGGGATGTGGGTTAATTTTGATGGTATTAATCAAATAGAAATTTTCATAAATATATGTAGACTAGTAGAATATGAATTATATATATATTTTTTAATTTTATTGTATTGAACTATAAGAATTAGTTAGGCACTGGATGAAGATGAAGAACGTTTTCTGTACTGATGAAATTGTCGATGGTTAAAACTGTTATTAAACGCTCAAGCGGAAGACAGGAAACATGCAATAGAGGGCGTTCCAGAAATAGATACCAACGTTCTAACCACGTATTTAATTTCACCATTAAAACTTTTTACAGTCGATTTCTTTTTACAATCGACCCTGTTTAAGTACACCCATTGAGATAGAATAAATAGGAGATGCTATGACAATACTAAATGTGTCCTCACCTTTGAAATACACTTTTGTCACGTGTCAAACTCGAGCTAGTGGAGCTAGTCAGTTTTGGCGAAAATAAATACCCATTTTTTTAAATTACTGACATCAAATAAATCAAAGTATGACTCTTAAGGCGCCATTTTGATTACACTTTTCCATCACTTTTGGCAACGCTAAGTATATACATATCTGTCATATCACAAAATAGTGTTTATGTCGTCTCTACTTCATTCTATCTTGATGGGTACACCCGATTCATTTATAGTAGATTCTATTTATCATCCATTTTTTCAAAGGACTAATCAGTGTGATATGTAATAGGACTAGAGACTGAGTACCCTGTATATAATTTAATTTTTTTAGTTACAAAATTTCGATACAAGCGGCCTTAAGATAAAGTATAGATATTTGTATAAAAAAAAAAAAAAACTGACAGAGTTTATGAAAAGATGAAATGTTGATAAGAAATTCCAATGATAGTATGACATAGGTCAACATAAGTTTCCTCTTCATTTTTTTTATATTGTCAGTAAGTTGACGTTTTTGATGAGGTTTATACATGGTTGAAACCTTAAAACTAATCTCCGAATAAAAAAAAAGGTAGAACTAAAAATATTTTTTAAACAAATTTCGCAATCAACACCCAAACATTTGAAGCAATTAAGAAATAAACCGGCAAAACAAATGACACGACTTACAAGACATCAGTAGTTAAAATTGCAAGTGCCTTAATTTGTGTCGACAACTCATCATTCTAGAATAACAGACAAATACACCTATGTATAAAAAAAATCAACCTGTAATGAATATTAAATTACTAACCTTCGTTAAATATAGCTTTGTAGTCTCCATGCTTGATTACTTCACCTGGAAGAGCGGTTATAACGAGTTCTCTATCATCTAAAGTTCTAATCGATTTTTGGAATCCACACAACGCCTCAATCAATTGTATCTCCATGCGCATAAACAGATCATAAACGTTATACCGCCTAAATACAGGATGCTCTTTTTCGTCGAGCACGATGATAATATCTCCAGGCTCTAAATCCGGTTCTTGATCACCTTCGCCATTAAAAACTATCTTCTGTCCATCAGTCATGCCTTTATCAATGTGCACTTCTAATACTTTACGCTCGCGCACTACTTTCTTGCCTTGACAATGTTTGCAACGATCTTTGGGATTGATTCTTTCGCCCTGGCCTCTGCAATCGGGACAGACTGTTTGTATTTGCTGCAGCATCCCTGTAAAAGTCCACAAATCGTAGCCAGATCTTCTTAACAATTATTGAGTATTTGATACTGAAGGTAACCCCCATACGTGAGTTATGCATGAAGATTTTTATTATTGTATACAGTAAAAAAATGTATGGTGGTATTCGCGAACATTTTCTAGGTTATATAGTAGATGAGGCAAAATTTTCGTTATTGTAAGAAAAAACAATAAAGCGCTATTGGAAACGGAGGAAATATTTAAAGGAAATTCGTTAAAAGGGAAACATGCCGACAAAATCTGGGTTAAACAGCTATTACAAAAGCTTAGCAAAATTTAGAAGGGCTCACTCAGGGATTAAAATCATCTTTGGGTAAAGAACGTCGATTATTAATTACCCTTATTAGCAGTGATACCGGGAATAAAAACTCGTTTAACATTTATTAACAGGTGGTGAAATTATTACAGCAAAAAATTTATTTTAAATTTGACAGCCTGTATTTTTTAATTTTCAGTATTTTATTTATAAAAAATAGGGTTACATTAAACATTGGAGACATAGACTGTCTGCAATAGAGGTATTCAACTATAGGGTAATTATTTAATAATAATTTACACTTTTTTACAAAAATAAAAATACAAAAAAACAGAGTATAAAGAATTTAAAAATGTAACTAAATAAAGGCTTTAGTAATAACTTGTTTCAAGAAATAAACTACCTACTAAACAATTATAATGATTGTAAAGGAAAGAAAAATATATATGGTAGAAAAACTAAATATACAGGGTGTTTCAAAAAGGTATGTCATAAATTCTTCCTCAGATAGGTTACCAAAAAAATAAGTGGATTTGGCTATATTTACATGTTAAACTAACAGGGCTGTGCTTGAGCCGCCCCTGCAAAAACTACCTCTTATTTATTTATAATATTGGACTGTTGTCATAAAAATGGTGTACCACCCGTTCTCATGGGTTCACCATGCCACTGATAAAAATACACGTTAGTTTGGAAATGTATTCATTAAATTTAATAGTAATTAAAAAAAATATTTTTTTAATTAAACAATTAACAATTAAAAATAAACACTTGATAATAATTATTATACATCTTTTATAAACCATTTAATTTAGTAAATGTTCAACACGTCCGCCTCCTTGGAATACAAAAATATAATTAAAATATTTAATTTTTGCAGGGGCGGCTCAAGCACAGCCCTAGACACACCACTGATTTTTATGCGTTTTTTTTGTACAATAACTCCTGACCTACTCTTAGTTTTGTTGATATGTTGATAAGCAGGACGGACGAATTGCTCTAGAAATTCAGTTAATAAATTGTAAATAGCTCTTAACTAAGAAAGATACAAAGTTCATTTCACTATAAAAAAAAATTATAAATTCATAGTTCTTTTTGATTTTAAGATCGATGAAGCAAGTTTCTTTATGTCAAAAAAATACGGGGGGGTGTTAAAAGTACCCAATCCCCCAACTTTTTGAGGGGTTTGCATTAATTTTTTTTTTTCCTTAGAATATTGGGGCTTCAAATCTACAACACTGGCAAAAAATTCAAAGAAAAAATCGCAACAGCAAACTTTTTACAAAAAAAAAAAACGTTTTTTTTAATGTTAGTTTAACGCCCTGTAAAAACACCCTGTATAAAAAATAATCCAATGTAATGCCCTAGCCCCAAGTTCCTGTCCATTGGGTGGCTAAATACCCTTTAGGACGAGGCCAAAATAAAAAAATAAAAGCAGAGGATTGAAAATGTGAATTAACGTCTCATATGAAAAAAAAAACACTTTTTTTTTTGTCATCGGCATCAACTGCTACGGTTATTAGCCTCAAGTACCTGTGTTGTTTTAATTTTTGTTATTATTTGCAGATCGTAAAAATGTATTTTAAAAGTAACTAAAATTATTTTTAATGTAACTAATAGTCTACTTTTAAATGAATTCAATATTGAAAATATCAGAAATAAGATGTAAATGATTCTTAAACAATTATTTAATTAAAATGTTATCTACTTATTTTACAAATATATTTTAAAACCTAAAATCAATTAAATAAAATAATAACAGTTCAAAACTAGATAATTTCAGTTAAGGAGTCAACTTCTGATTTATTTGGTTCCAGCAGCGATGCAAATAATTCAATCTTTAATTTGTTATATAACCTATTTTATAGCGTACTTACCAATAATTAAGTAACTTAAAACTATTCCAAATTTTTAAAATAAGTTTTAACATAATTAAAAAATATTAACTTATCATCAATACAAATATTACCCACCACTGAACAACATGTGCAATTCTGTGGTCAGCACTTAAAAGGACACAAGTCAAATTTTTAGGAGTAGGGGCTTTGATATTTATATTGATATTTTGATACCTAAATATATTTATGTTGAAAAATGTTAAAATTACTCATTAATTTAGACCCTCTGTACAAACAAAATGGCATTTCTAAACTTTCATACACCATTTCACATAATTATAAAAAACTGTACCTACTTAAATAATTTTAAGCACAACCACAGTATTATTAAGGAACAAAAAAAAAAGGTACATTATAACACACTATACACAATGTAGTAAATAAACTTTTTTTAATTTCCAAGATCCATAATATAATTTAACAAACTTAGTAGCAGTATTTTTATTCATTTTCTTCTTGCATAAATAGTATAAGTAAAAACAAAATATAGAGGAAAGAAAAAAACAGAAAAACAAAAATGAAACTTATAAAGCCCCCCATTAGATATTAATTCCCCTTTATTTCAATGAACAAAATGACTTTTTTTCAAAAAAAATTGGGTACATCAAGGCTTTAGTATAAAATGAACCCTAGATTGCCAGATAAGTACAATTGATGGGTATATTTTCAAGAGTCCTCCTTACTCTCTGCTTTTATCACAGCAACATTCTAGCTTTGCTTTCCTTGGTTTTGATAGTGTGACTTAATACTGTTAAAAGCATGTAGTAGCTCTAACAGAGGTTTTTGTTATTTTTATAGTTCCTATGTACCTCTAATTCATGTATATCTGGAAACTATATGCCATCAACTCAAAACAATCATTACAGAGTCGGAGAAAATTCATAATAATCTGCTTCCAATACTATCCAAGAAGGAACTTAAAAGTATTTTCCAAGTGCTCTTACATCAAAAAAAGAACCACAAAAATTAAAGTGGTACGTGATGAGCATCAGAATAAGACATCTCAAAGGTAAAAAAAAAAAACAATAAAGCAGCAATATATTAAAATCAACAACAGACTACTGAATAATGCTGACAATCTAGGGTTAAGCATTGTATTTATAGTTTTGGCATTTGAGATTGACAACATAGTAAGATTTTCACTAGTTTTATTAGCATTATTCAATATTTACCTAGTCCAAGTTGTTGAACCTGCACTTGCATTCCAGTTCCCCTGCAAGTTGGACACTGTTCTATAGCTCCCTTTTTTCCTCCCCTACCTTCGCATTTATCGCAAATTACATTCTTTTGCAACGCCAGTTTTCTAACGGCCCCTTTGTAGAGTTCTTCCAGTGTCACTGTGAGCTGGTGAATAACATCCTTGCCTCTTCTATCTCTTCGACTTCTACGGCCACCCCCAAATCCTCCACTGAAGAACATATCGAATAAGTCCATAGGACTGGAGAAGCCTCCGCTTACTCCACCCTCTTTCAGGGCTTGCTCTCCGCCTTGGTCATAAATTTTCTTTTTCTCGGGATCCGACAGTACTTCATACGCTTGAGATATCTGTTTAAATTTCTCACCTTCATTGGGATTCTTATCCGGATGATATTTTAATGCTAGTTTTCTGTAAGCCTTCTTCAAATCGTCTTGGGAACAGCCTGGCTTGACACCTAAAATCTCGTAAAATTTTGTTTCCTTCACCATGCTTGCCCTTTAAATAATGTAAATGCTGAAATTATACTTAATTCTATTAGAAATGCTGTGTCGTGTAACGCGTCAGCCGATAAAGACTTTTCTAGTTTTATTTGAATTACAAATTTCTAACTGTATCACCAACACAATGAAAATTAGACTGGAATATTCTTGGAAGTTTTAAAAAATCAACCTCATTGATATAATCGCAGCAGCGAAAAGGATAAAATACGTACAGGAGAGAGACGGAAATATTCTAGAAATTACTAGGATTAACGTCATCATCTAGTAAATGTCAAAAATATAAACCTTAAGCCGTGTACACACTGAAACAACTTACTCTACAATATTCCTAATTTCAACACAACAAATTTAACTTTATTGGAAGTAATAATGTGGGTCATTATCTTTTCTACTATTTCAAAGGTTAAAAATAATTTTCAACCTTTGAGGACCGATTCCACCGTTGTGTTAAACGAAGTTTAAAATGACATTTTTACATTAACAATGTCACTTTAATCTCCGTTTAACACAACGGTGGAATCGGCTCTGAATAAGCTTGTTTATTTTTAAAAACATGATCAATCTATATAACTCTATAGCATTGACCCTGTCAAATAATCAGGCCCACAGGGTTGCCATATCATCCACGAGCATCCATGTTATATAAAACAGGCAGCAGAGCAGCAGCTTTCTTTTTTTACATATCGACAAACAAGGATACAAATAACCTCAGTACGAACTGCCTGTGTCAGTGAAAAACACTACAAGTTGCGATAATTTGCTGAATGTTGCATCAGTGTGAACACGGCTTTACGCTTGTAATTTTTTTATATGCAACACGTAATCCAATTTGAGACAGAAATATGTTGCAAGCATTGATCTGGCAACCTAGGGATACGACATGCATAAGCGAAAAGTGGGACCGGTCCGCCATTACTGTGAGTGCAAATTGTCAAATTTTACAGGTTATATTTTTAGTGTCATTTGTGTAATTAAATTTGAATTTAATTTGTGTTTGAGCAAATTTTGAGTGTTACAAACTTATAAAGTATATAATGCCTTGTTGTGTTATACGTTCCTGCTCTAGCGATAGACGTTTTTGTGAAAAATCGACTGAAATAACGTTTCATAGGTTAGTATCAAAATTATAAATATTATACAGGACAGTATTATGACAGGTTTGTATAAAATGTGTAAAAGTATGCTTTTAAAAATGCAAAAAAAATCATCTATCAACTTTTGGGCCTACCTATATTGGAATAATACTTTTTCATACGAAATAATATTTATAGATTTCCAAAAAATCCTATAAAACGTAGCGCGTGGATACAGTTTGTCAACAAGTATAATTGGTAACCTTCTAAATTCAGCAGTATATGTTTCAAGCATTTTCTTGAGAAGTACATTAATCGTACGCCATTTCGTTTATCAAATTTAATTTATAGGCATTTTATATTCTTATTTCTATTTAAATATAACCTACATTTGCTGTCCATCCACCAATTTTATTTATTAGTTTTATAGCTAATTGAAAAGTAGAGCTTCATGTTTTGTGTATGCATGAGTATTGTTTGTTTTATTATAGTTCATTTAAAACAATATTAATATACCTTTTTAATTACCTATAATTTATTTCAGATTAGTGCGTTTAAAGGAATTGGTGAAAATGAAGCGAATCGCCAGCTTTGGGGGTGTGCCAGTAAAAGTGACATCGAAGTTATTCAACGTTTCCAGAATAAAGTATTAAGGAACATCGTCGATGCACCCTGGTACTGCCACAATACTGATCTTCATAGGTGTCACTGTCAAAAACCTACTAACTATTGCTGCGTTAGAATATCCACATCTGATGCATTTTTTAGGTCTTATGCATTTGTTTATTTACATTGGACACATCTACTACATCTGCGTTTGTTTATTTGAGCTGTAGCTGTCCAGATTACATTTTTTACATCTCTAAAATGATCAGTTACATATACAGGATGTAGCAAGATGTACTATACAAACTTAAATATCACATTTTCAAAACTTTTGGTTGTTTATCAACAATAATTATAAACGTCAGTTGGCTACTCAGTACTACACTTGTCAACTACTTTTCCTTTTTATGATAAATTTAAATTTGCAACACGCCTTTGCTGTTTTTGAATTAATAATATGCCAACATAGTGTACCTTTAATGATTTTGTCATGAATATTTGCGAGCTGCTTGTATGGAGTATCAGTGACGATTTCCATACCAAGGCATCAAACATTCAGTGCTGTGTTTTGACATATTCAAACACATGGCATACTATGTTAATACATCTTTTGATATTTAAACTCTTTTAGCTTGGTAACTATGTAGAATTGGATATTCGTTCATAGGACATTTTTTAATGCTTGAAATGAATTCAGGAATATATTTAAGTTTGTACAGTGCACATTATGAACATACTGTATATAAATTCTTATAATAATAAATATTTAACATCAATACTCACTTAGTCTTTTTTAATGAGACTAGCAACAAAATCATAACCGATTGTTTAGTATTAAAAATAAATATCACACATAGATATGGATAAGAAAATATTAAAACTTTATTCTTTGTACACTTTTATTTAATCACAGCACACATTATTTGCACAACGGTGTTTTACTTGTTTTACAGTAAGATATATACTTATCTTTAATGTTCAAGTTTTTAGAATTTGAACTTGGATTAGGCCATTTTCGTCAATTTTGTTCTTAGAACTTTTGAAAAAACACTTGGGAAGTACTCTCACAAATGTATTTCTTATTTTTCCTAGCGAAGAAATTGTGTATTAGGAAATATTCTGGTTTTTATCTTAGTGGTTAAGAAAAGCACTTACAGTGGATACTTTTCCTAACTCGTCAAAGATTGACTTTAACTATGATTGAGACTTTATCTTCACATTCTTGTCTGACTTTCAATCATACATGCATGATTATTGTGCATAGACCAATTAAATTGGACCGGCACACTTGTGGTGCATGTGTGTTACTACGGTAGACCTTTACATAAGTATATAGTCATAATCTCTGCAGATGGTGAGAAGCCCAGATCAAACCAACCACCATAATATCGTCAATTGGATCTATACCTAAAATTTTATTTTATATAAAAATGTCATTTTAAACTTCGTTAAACCCAATGGTGGAAGTTAGTTATGTCATGGTCATTGATTAGATGCAATTTTGAAAATAATATATTCTCCAGCGCTTAATAGCCACTTGAGTGATAATTAAATCAGTTATATTTTATTTCTTTCATTTACTTTATTCAGCACCTTTCGGCTGAAAACCGGGCATATTTAAGCTTTTAAACCCCCTTCTTTTATACCCTCGGCCTTCCACCACCTTTTGACTCAATGTCAATAAAAAAGGAAATTCATTTTTTTATAGTTCAAATAATGATACTTAACCAGAAATAGTACAATAAAAACTTGTAAATCCGGTGCTGCTCTTCCGCCATTTTAGTGAGTGCAAAAGCCACGCCTACCGGTCCCAGTTTTGTATATCAAAAATAATGCATATGACGTATCCTTACGTTGCGTTATCAATGGTTGCAAGTTAAGTTGGGAGTTGGGTTGTTGGCAGTGTTGGCACCATAGAAAAATAAAAAGGTTGGCACTTTGTTGGTGTGTTCAGTGGTTGGTGTGTTTGTTTATTGTTGTTAATTTTGTTTGATATTTTTAACACACAAATCGACCATATGATAGATATCTTCAACTCATTTATTTAATTTATCTATCAACTTATCTATGTACTGTGCACTAATTTAGATTGTTGCAAGGTGGTTATTGGAATTATAAATTGAACAAAAAATTAAAGAGATTTCCCATAATAATAGGATTATTTTACTCGTTCTACCATCTCTATGTCTCAAAACGGTGATAAGTTTACTATAAAAATAGTTAAAGACAATTTCGAATCGGCTCTTTCTAAAGAAGACGATGTTCGACTCAAAGAGTACCTGGATAGTTTCGAAGAACTCAACAAGTAGGTATTAATTTTATTTTTATCTAATTCGACCATAAAAACATTTTTTTAGGTTTTTTACTTTAATGGGTACCATTTTCGGTTTCGTTAGTAAAGATTTGAAGGCTAAAATGGATTTGTTAAAGGAACTGCTTGTCAATTCTGGAGAAAATTTCTCTAGTGTTAAAGAAATGATTGAATATGAAAAAGAGAATGAATTGTTGAATAAGAAAGGCTACACATCAGGTTCTCGAACTTTGCTAAGGCTTCATCGAGGATTGGGTAAGTGTTTGCCTTATTTGACAATCTTTTTTTGGTTATTTAGATTTAAATTGAATACTCTATTTTTATATTTATGTTTTCCTATAGTTGATATCAGTGGTAATAGTTTAATATATTTTAGATTTTATTAGATTATTTTTACAAAAACTTGGTGAGCTTAAAGATGATGAATATGCTTCCACAGTGTGTAGAGAGGCATATGAACAAACGCTGTCAAAGCATCATCCTTTTATTATTAGAAATGGAGCAAAAGTTGCTATATATGCCCTACCAACAAAAGGAGTATTACTTGGGAGGGTAATTTTATTTTAGAGGTAGATTTTTTTATGTTTGTTACCAATTTAGTTAACTTTGTTGGTAGGTATGTGGAGAGCCAGAAAATATACAACAAGCACTGGAGTTATTGCCAGACACTTTGACTGCCACTTCTTTAGTATTTGAACGGACTGAAAACCTTTTCACACTACATGATCTTCATACACTTCCATAAACCGAATCAGTATTACTATCATAATGAAAAAAGATTGAACAAATATAATTATGTTTTTCAAGAAGAGTCCAAAAAATTGATGAAAAATTGTGAATACAAATATTCCAGAAAGCTTTATTTTAATGAATTTTATGTATATTTGTCCATTTTGTGTAAAATTTAATTTTATGCTACCAGCTTTACTATTTAAAATAAAACATATTTTAGTACTAATTTATTCCCATTTTTTGTTCTTTGGTTCATGAACATTAACATGGCATGTTATATTATCAGAAGTTGAGTCTAGTAATATTTTCAAACTTGGGATAACTCATTTCGCTCAAGATTTTCATGAAAAATATACGTCAACGTGAAAATATTTTTAAAGCCATTGAGAACTCGAGACTGTCTCGGTATATTTCAAAAGAATTACAATTTTCACTGACATTAAAAATACAGTTTCTAAGTTGATATAAAAATCTTGAGGGAAATCACTTTTTCTCGAGTTTGAAAATAGTCCCATGCTGTTACTAATTCGTATTCTACGATTGAATGGTACCCATAAGCAGATCCATTGGAATATTATTATTCAATCTTATTGGCAGAGCCATTAGGTACCTTCATAGAAAAATAAAAGGTACCTTTGACAAAATAAATAAATAAAAAACTCATATTTTTGTGTTTTAAAACTAATTTTTAGCATTTGAATATAGCAGGGCTGGCCCTGGAATATAGTAAAAAAAAAATTTACTTCAAGGCATAAGCCTAATTGCCCTTCCTCCATGATGTTTATTTTGAAAAACATGGATGATCAATCTATGAATCTATATAACTATATCATTGAACCTGTCATCACAGGCTTGCCATATTACAACCTGTCATCCACGGGCAACCATAGGCGAGTTCGGTCAGTCAGGGGCTGGAGCGGGACAAATTTTAGGGTGCTTTTAAATGACATTTAAGCGTGTTAAACTGTCACTAATCGGACTAAACCGAACGCTAAAAGAGTCGTTTGGAGTTAAAAGTGTTAAAGGAACGTGGCAAACCGAACGCAATGCATATTGTTCGGTATGCCTGTTAAAATGGTTGCATGTGGAGCAATGAACTGGGGGGCTATTTTCAAAGTCGAGAGAATTCATTTCTCTCGAGAGAAATGTCATACGTCAACGTAAAACAGTATTTTTAGGGTCCTAAGGGCCAGTGTAAACTCACTGATTGTTTCTCACGGTTTATTTAGAGATAATTAATATCATCCGAAGAATTTTAATCCTCGAGGCCTTTAAAAACAGCGTTTCCACATTGACGTATGACATTTCTGATGAGAATCTTGAGAGAAATGAGTACTCACACGGTTTGAAAATAGGTCCCCAGGAGTGGGGTAGAAAGCCAATGTGCATATTGTATCAGTAGAACAAGGTGCGACTCTATGGGCGCAGCCATTTTTATTTCTCATCTCACTCGGGATTATTTATAACAGAGACAACAGAGACGTGTAACTTAATAGGAAAATATGTTCGGTGGTCCATTTAAATTACATATATGACCATCTTTTTCTTTTACATTGATCTTTACATATGTCTATCTCTCTCCAATAAAACTAACACCATTTTCAGAGGGCGCTGGTGTTGCTGGTTTTTTGACGTCGAAATATCGATTAAAAGTATTAAAACTGACAACTGACAATGTTATGAATGTTGTTATGAACATGTGTATTTTATTAAAATTAATTTAATTTGGGCCCCGTATATTTCTTTTAGTCTGATTTTGTTGTTTAATTAATTTTCTTTGGGGGAATGTTTATTTTTGCATATTATTTTTTGCATGAAGCAATTTCTGGAACCAAACTCGCGTTTTTGTACACATTTCTTTCTAGAGGTAAGTAATTTCCAATTTATTATGTATATGTGTATAATGTGTGTGTGTTTAATAATATATTACACAATGACTATAATTATTTTAGGTGAATTGGAACAGAGATCCATTGTTACAGCTACTTGTGTTCATTAAGTAGGTAGATGAATGTCTGGACCTGGACAGCTTTAATGGCAGCACAAAGTTCCTATCTACTAGAAAAGTAAAATGTATGCTGAGTAAAAAATCTGCACATGTAGTATTGGCAAAGGACTTTTGAAATGATTAGAGATTAGCTATTTCTTACATACACCTACCTCTAACAGCCACTCTAAAGGAAGAAAAAAAAATTGAATCACAAAAGGGCAGAATTTTAAATCAGGATGCATTGGAAAATAAATTTGGGGACATCAGGTCGGTTTTGGATTTTATAGAGAGACCAATCTCAAGAAAAGTTAATTTATCCTGCAGAACAACTAGTTTAAGTAGGATTTGCTATAACTTTATTAGAAATTGTAATATAGGTACCAATTATTATTTCAAATGAAATTGAAAAAGAGATTTTTCATGAGTAAAATGTTATATTCATTCGAACATTGTAAGGTAATCTATAATTAAGGGAATATGGAAAATAGGTATACCCTGGTGGTGTAAGAGAAAGGTAAGGGACAATGACAAAAAAATTACAAAAATGTATTTATCTTTAAATAGTGTTTATTATTAATAATATTATTTGCTATGTTTGAAAAGTACCTCCTGCTGCAGAACAGATCGAATAGATTAGACTACTAGTTGGAGAAGGTCCACCTAGTAACCAAATTAGGAGACTAGGAAAACTTTTACATGACTGGGGACACAACAGGAATGCACACACACAAGATACACAAACAAACAAAATAACAGGGGTAAGCCTTCAGCAACGTCCTGTTTAAATGATAGTATGTCATCCTTCATTCCCTTTTAGAAGGCATGACATATAAATCTATTGAGCTTGATTACCCAAAGAAGAGTTAGCAGGGGATGTACGGAATGGGTCTAGCAGGTTTCGATCCAGTTTACAGGATGGGAACTCGACTCAGGCCTTATACATTTGTGTTGAGTTTATGTGTGTTTGTTTCATTTCCATGGTTTCTATTAAAATAAACAGTCATAACATATCAATACCTTTTTGCCAGACTAACATAAGCGACATTTGTTCAAATGGCACTTATGATAGTCTGGCAAAAAGGTATCGATATACTCTATACTTTATAACATATTTGTTACATTAGTTTTTAAATATATTATGAATATATAACAACTGTTACTTTCTTTGTAATTTGTCACAAAATGATAGGAGGTACTTTCTAAACATAGCAATTGTAGTTTGTTTTTCTGTACCTTAAAAAAATATAATTTATAGAAAAAGAGTTTGGTGTATTATTTTTCCAAGTTTAAATATTTAATAATCAATAGAATTTTCAAGTTTTTTTAGCGAAATTTACAAGAGTAATAAAAACTATGTTCACTGCTTATATTAAAATGATTAAAACTTCCTTTATTAAAATGATTATTTATATGATAAAAAATTTGATATTGGAAGCTTTTATATTTTTTAATAAACAGTGAAACAATAGTTTTTGTTTCTCGTGTAAATTTGTTGTATACAAAAACGATTTCTGAATCCATGTTTGAATTTCCCGCCCTAAAGCATTTTTAATTTTCCCGCTATTTACTAGTGGCGCCATCATAGACTGGTTGTGGTTACAATCGCCCAAATAAGTTTTACCGAACAAAAAAAATACATTGAGTTACACGTCTCGCTGGATTGTCTCTGTTTATAATAACCATTTTATGTTTCACATTGTTATTGTTCAATCCACAAGCTGGTGGATCAGACAATAACAAAGTGAAATAGAAAATGGTTGTTATAAATACTCCCGAGTGAGATGAAAAATAACCTGTCTTCGCCCATAGAGTCGCACATCAAGTCTATTGACAAGCATTCTACCCCACTCCAGTTCATTGATGTGGAGTGGTGGGCACTGATAGGATCAATGAAATAGTTATATAGATTGCTCAAAGCCAGTCACATTGTAAGTGGCCACATTGCGTCGCAAGTACTCATTCCTTATTAATCAGACTCGGTTTAGCGAAAATTTACCGAAATCGTTCTCTTTTCTCCCTTCTCTATCTACACAAGTATACCTTTCATTCTTTCAAGTAGCGAGCTGAGTTAGGCCCGTATTTATAAACAAAACGCAGCTGGGTCGGACTTGGGTAAGTCGTCCTTGAACTAAAATCGAAGTTCGGTTACAACGTCTCCAAAGTTCTAGGTGGTTCCGGTGTTACACTGGAATTTAAAGATGAATATTCGCAAATCTATAACTGTTATGTACATTTACGGATTTGTTACTACCCATCTCTAAATTCACGGGATATAACCGAACTTCGACTTTCGTTCAAGGACGACTCAGCTGAGTTTTGTTTATAAATATGGGCCTAAAATAGTTAAATTAAAGCAATTTGTTTTGCGAGCGGCGATATTTGCCTCGCAAGTACTCATTAATCAGAATCGGTTTAGCAAAAAATTGTTTTAAAACCAATTTTCAGCTTTTGAATATAGTAGTAAAATAATTACCTACTTTTTACTTCAATGCACGAGTTGTGTTTATTAAAAAAAAAAAAACATAGATCAATCTACATATATATTTAATAAATGTAATGTTTATGCCTCAATTTTGAATTTTAAGTAACTTTTGTAATCTCATTTTCTCCGTCTTCCTACCTCTATAGATAGCGACCAAAACTTTTGACTTTGACAAGAATTAAAAAGAAGAATAAATGTCAAAATATATCATGTGCTTTTTTAAGGTTATGTATGTGTTGGTTTTGGTTTATTATTGTATATAATTTAAAGTAAAATCTCAGGTAAGACAATTTAACTAATCCTCTATAGTTTAATTAACTAATAATTATGAATTTAGCAAAATCATGGCGACTTCTTTAGCTGAACAACTTCAACGTCTCGCAATACCGCAGAGTTCTGCTATAAAACGCGATAAGAAACGTCCTTCTTTGCTTTTCGATCCTAAAAAGGCCGCAGAACTATCTAGAGAAATATTTTACCAGATCGGATTAGAAGGACTCGAAGAGTTGACTCAAAAAAATGAAGTTTTTTCACAATTCAAAGACGGTCTTTTTCACGCTACTTCGAAGGAATTTGAACGGTCTGTTCAAAACACAGAGGCCAACGAAAAGTTAAATAAGAGTATTAAAAAGTTTCTTTTGTTACTGTCTCCTTATTTCATGTTAAACTGTTCCCATAAAGCTCTTGAGTGGTTGGTAAATAGGTTTTCTATACATGAGTACAATAAGGAAGATTTATTAATGTTATGTTTACCATATCACGAAAGCAATATTTTTGTGAGGGTAATTCAAATAGTCGTATTTAAAAATAAAAGAGATGGTTTTTACTTTTTAAAGCAGCTGCAATTGCCTGGTACTCATTTACCTAAACAAATTCTTTTAAGCCATTCTGCTTCCAATAATGAATTTTTAAAATTTGTTTCCAAGTACATAAAAGATTTGTTAAAATATCATGAAAAACATTATTTATTAACAGTTGCTTTTAATTTTTATTGCACTGTTTTTTCTGGAGCTTTAGAATACAGCAATGATATTACAGAAGATCAAGTATCTCAGTTATTACCTTTATTGTTAAAAGGTTTAAATTCCCCAATTGCAGACTTTGGTGCTGCTTCGTATGTAATAACTGCAAGATTAGTCTCTAAAACCAACCTTTCTAACAAGCTTTTGGATAAATTTGTTGAAAAAATATCAGAAGTTAAAGTAGAAAGTCTAAAAACTGAAGCATGCTTATTACTCCTGGTTATTTATCAATCGCAAAAGCAGTATACAAATTTTCCAACCATTGCCATAATTAGTTTGTCAGAAAAAGAGTGGTTGCCAAAAATGTTGAGCAGTTTGCAAACTTCTGGGAGTTTTATTTATCCATTTTTTGAGAGGTTGATAACTAGTGCGTTTATTGAAGGTGTAAATAATGATTTCAAATTGGTCAGAGATATGGTGAAAGCTTGTTTGGATCAACTAAAAGTCAAGGAAGAATTCGTATCAATCATTTTAAAGTAAGTTTGCAAAATATTTAGTGCTAAATAAATATATTTCTATATTATTTGAAATACTATATACCTAGTATGATTTTTTATAAAGGGCCTTATAGAACTATCATAAAAAATTGAAATATTTATTAGGTTTCTTCATGTTCTTTAAAACAGATCAGTCTAAAATTGTTCACTGGCACAAATTTAGAATTATTCAGCCAACGTCTTGTCAGAATGGGAAAAAATTGCCAATGCTTGGCAAAAACAAGAAAATTTGTTGACCTGATTTTTTTCATATAAATATTTGAACTGTTATTGTAAATGATATTCAATATTCGACAGATTTCTAGTCTCCTAACAATATGCTTGGACCGGCAAGTAGAATGCCTGTAACCTCAACAAGAAAGTGGTAGGTACTTAGAGATACTTTTGTAGTTTTTTGAACAATTTAAAATTTGTTGGCGGGCCGCATAAATATCGACAGTGGGCCGCGATATGTGCATCGCTGTTTTAAAGAAATATTAATTTATGCCATTTTTCAGCTAAACATTAAAAAAAAATTAACACAATTATCACTTGATTCCTCAATGATTTTATTTTCAATTATGTATTTTCAAGATATTTGAGTTTAAAGATTTTTTTATAGTTCACTTTCTGGAACAGAGCTGGGTAATTACAAGTACTTTAAAAATAATTACAATTACAAAGTACTTTTTCAAAAAGGAATTAATTACAAGTATATGTAAAAATAGGGATTATATTGATTTAATTACAATTACATGAAAAAATGAATTAGCAATTACTTTTATAAATACTTTTCTAATTACTTTGCTGATAAAACAACAAATTATGATATAATTGAGGAACCATGAACCAACCGGACTGGTAAAAATAAAATTTTTAAATAGGTAATTCAAAGTGTCAAACTAACAGCCGTTTGCAAGGACTTTCTTAAGGATTCCTTAAAGTTAAAGATATCTTAAGGGTCGGTTGTATAAATCGTACTTAAAGTTAAACTCTGTTTGAGGTGACACATGACAAATTTTTTATGGCATAGGTACAGTCTAAATACTATTTAGCACTTAGGGCTTGTTTCCACAAACATCAGACTGCACATATAGCATCGGAAATTGACATGTATTACCTAAAACAACTTAATTTTAAGTAAGCTTTATACAACCAGCCCTAAGTGTATTGTTTTCTGTACCATTTAAGGTCTTCTTAACTTAAGGGAACAGACAAAATCGATAAATAGTATAAAAAAATGAAACAGGTAAGTAAATAATAAAATGTGAACTTTTAAAAGTTTATTGATTTTCAACAAAAATACAAAAGTTCGTGTACCTACGCCTAGGTACTTTTATATTTTACATAGTCTGAGTTTTTGACCACCTCGTATTTGTTTTAATTAAATATTATGAGGTAGTAAATAAAAGAAATAGTATAGGAAGGAGTAAGTTAGCCATTTTGATCAATTATGAATAGTTTTGACAAAAAAAAATTTCAAAATTCAAAAATCTCTATTTTTTATCAAATCAAGTCTGATAGATCAATGAAATTAGTTGTTCAGGGAGAATCTAAAAATTTAATAAAATACAGGGTGTGCCACAAAACTTTGATACGCCACATTTTTTTGGGACATACTAAGTATATATTTTAAAATAATTATAAAAAGGTGGTTGTCCTCATTATATATACTTAAAAATAGAAGCCATTTTATAACTTTATCGATTCGCTATAAACGTCAGAGGCGTATGATAAATTATCTTGTATAATGTTGTTATTGACAAATTATACTGAAACTGAAATAGTTGTTTGTGCAACAAGAGTGGATATGGAGTTGTACAGTATATTTTTTCTACAGCCCACTAACAAAAATCTATATTTTAGGTAAGACAAAATAACTAATTTTATAATAATTTGTTTTTTACTAATTCATAAAATAAAATAAACAAATGAAAATTAGTCCCTTGTCCAGATTTTAACCCGGGCTATTCGCATGAAAGGCAGATGCTCTGTCCTCAGCTCCTCCGCCACCTTTATGATTTTGGTTTTAATACTCGTAATTAAACTAGTTTCATATAGTTTGATTAAAATTTATTTTTTTTTAAATTGTGGCCCAAATAAAAATATTATTTATCGATTCTAAACAAAAATAACTCATTTAGTGTATATTTAATCTCAATAACTAAAAAATATACTGACAATTAGTTTGACAGAATAATTGACACATTTAAAATTTTAAAAATAATAGAAATTGGGTATCAAAAATATGAACTGTGATTGGTGGATTTCATTTCTTTTTGCAGTGTTCTCACTACTTAGAATATATGTGAAATAGCTTACTTTCCCTTTTTTAATCTGTGCGTAGATAAGCTAATATCCCTGTAGGTGTAGAAAAATATGTTTTTTTAACACCCACATTTCAATATAGAAAATTAGAATAATAACTAGAAATACCTACGCAACGTAAATAAGTAGTTTTTAGTATTTACCCCATAAAAACTTCTATTGCACCACTTCATACTATATTTCCTTAATTTATAATGTTTATGCAACATAAATTATGTTTATAATATAAATACAAAATACGTCTTAGAAATAAGAATATCTGCATCTACTTGCCCCTTACTGTTATTATTTTAGGTTGAACAATTTCACTGCTTCACGGCACAACGCTTTCCTCAAATGCATTTAAACAAATGATAAGGATGCGAGTCCGAGGTCTAGTGACCGGTTCGAATAAGAAATTTTTTGTTTTTATATCATATGCATCTCATAAACACGCATTTAAAAGTAATTGTAATTTAAAAATGTAATTGTACTTATAAATGTAATTGTAATTGAAAAAAGTAATTGTAATTGGTAAAGTAATTGTACTTATGACAAGTAATTGTATTTAGACAATTTAAATAATATAAATTAATATAATTACAAGTACAATTCCTCCACAGATTTTGCTGCAATTACAATTCCAACTTACTTTGAGAAAAAAAGTACTTAAATACAATTACAAATTACATGAAAAACAGTAATTATAATTATTAATTACTTTTTAACTAGGAATTACCCAGCTCTGCTCTGGAATATATGCCCTTTATCCCCTGGTTACCAAATAAATACATTAAACGTCTTTATTTGAAAGGATATCAAAACAACATAGATTGAATTCTAGTTATATAGGCCCTTTATTTATACAAAAATATCAATTAAAAAAATGCATTCGCTCTTTATCCACTTGTCTTCAGTTCAACCTGTATTACAGTTCCCTTTTGGACGCAGCACATCAAGATGACATTTCTGCAGAAGCTAAAGAATGGTCAATAGGAATATTAGAATCCATGGAAACTCAATACCCTTCAGTATTCGATAAGGAGGTATATAGAATCCTCTCTACCACAGCGGATAAAAAATCAATAAAACGTAGAAAATGCTTAACCAAATTGTTGAAAAACACCATGACCTACAAAGGAAAATTCGATGTATTCGGAAAATTGTACCACCCGAATCCTTGCATAAGAGGCGAAGGTGTAAAATTCCTTTTAGACAATTACGATGCCCTCAGAGATACCGATAAAGAAATAATAAATAATTTCTTCATTGATGGATTGAGAAGTGACAATAAAGACATGGTCAAGGAGACCCTGAAACTTGTCAAAAAAACGGACAAAATCGACAAAGATGTTTTAAAAAAGTCTCTAGCTATTTTATCCTTCAAATACCATAAAGATAAAGTCGGGTGGAGATTGGTTTACAAAGAAGTAACTAATATGCTGTTTACACTCTACCCTCCAACTGATTGGGAGGTATTTTTAGTAATATTTCCGTTTTTACTACCGGAGACATCAGAAGATCTTCCTAGAGCCAAAAAACTGTTAGAACTGCCATTTATTTCCAACCACGATTTATTCAAAAGTGATATTCACAGATTGAAAAGCGTTAGCAATGAGGAAGCCTTTGTGAAATTGATTTTAAAAGTTTTATCTAAAAATACCGATATACACAACGTATCTAATTTTATAAAAGTGTTAAAAGGTATTCCTGATGAAATGTGGGATAGTTATCATAAGTATATATCGTTTCTAATTTTGGGTACCATTTTACCACAACGTTCATCTCTAGAAATCGGCAGTTTGGTAATTGACTTTCTGCCCAAATTGTTCGAGAATATCACTCAAAAATTTGATTATGAAAAGACCATATCCGGAAATATACAAGAAGCGATTAAAGGAAAATTCCCTATACAAGGTTTTCTGAAATGCTTAATCAACCTTACATACAAAATCGAAAAAGCTCAAATCGATCTCAAAATGAGAGATTTTTTGCTGCCAAATGCAGAAAACAGATTTTTTTTGAGCACCACCAAAATACTGTTGGAAAACAACGTGGAATATTTAAAAAAGTTTCTAAAAAAGATTTGCGATAATGACGCCGTCGTTATAGAATCGTTATTAAACGTTTGTCTATGCCAAAACGACGGTTTGAAGATCACAATTTTGAATTTCGTCAATAATAACCTGCAAGAAAATGATGAATCTAAAACTCTGATTTATATAGACCAATTTGTACCGATATTCCTGCTGGTATTACTTTCTGATCCTGATGAAAATATCCGAAGAATAATAATCGATATTTTTATTACATTAATCAATTCATCCACTAGAAAAGGCAACTCATTCTATTACTTAATAAATGTAGTAATAAAGAATAAAGAAGAAATCATTTTAGACCACGAACAGCTACCTTTAATAATCTTCAAAGCTTTAGATCCATCAAACACAAAAAAAGATAAAAAGAGTGCTAGCGATTTAAACTTAATAAGGAATCAACTGTTGAAAACCTGCTGCCAAAGTTTAACCCCTGCTTATTTAAAATCTCGGATTTTATACGCTTTATCATTGATAAATTCTTTCGAAATACTAGAAGAGACTGCTAAACTAGCTTTGTCGATTTTGGAAGAGAATACGTTGGAAATTAAATCTTTCAATGCTGAAATTGTTGTACATATCGTCGCTAAAGTTACATCTAACGTCATTAACAAACTAAATCTTGATAGTACCGCTTGGAAATTAATTGAAATCTTCATAAAAAACGATGAAACTTTAATTTATAATGATTCCGAAGATAAAATTACCCCATCGGTTCTCATGTTGAACCAATTGGATAGAGAACTATTCATTTCGTTGGACAATGCAGAAGTGATCAAGAAACTTTTGGATATCGTGGTGGAAAAGTCGGCTACTGCCCAGAATCCTGAAGTGCTTCCAGCCGCTCTTAGGATATTTAAGCATATAGATTTGGATTCGGTATGGATAACGGGACAGTTGATTGGGATGAGGGACGTGTTGAGTCCCAAGATCGACGCCAGCAAGAAGAAAAGGAGAATTGGAGTGGTACCGACTGTTGATATATTGGATACGTTGGAATGGAGAAAAGGTAAGCCATTACATTTCTGATTTTGATTTGTACTTTAATACGAAAAGTCTTTCCTCTAGGTGTAGCCGTGTTGGAATTTATACAAGACAAGAAAAAAATCAGAAACACAGACTCTTTAGTTCCGATTCTTTTCGACGTCTTGAAACGATGCTTAGATTTCGACGAACAATCTGCCGTCGAATATCCTAAACAACTTTTACTTTCCCTCATCCTGCATTGCTTCGCAAAAACCGAAGAAATTATCCCAGACAACGTTTTCAACATTGAACTGATAGTTCAGTGTATACGGTAAGTACAATATATTAGTACTGTGAAAAAAATTTACCCAGAAAATACAGTTTGAAATATTTTTAGAGCCTCTCAAAATCCTCAGACGCACCATCACGCCTTACTGGTATTAACTCATACAGCGCATTTGGTTCCCACGCAAGTTTTGCACCATATGATGGCGATTTTTACGTTTATGGGGTCTTCTGTTTTGAGGCACGATGATGCATACAGTTTCCATATTATTTTCAAGATTATCGATACCATTATTCCGATTATTGTCAATGAACATGAAGAAGGTTAGTATGTACGCTTATTTTATTTATTAACTAAAGCCCAATGTATGTTTTCTGAAGGTGATCGAACGAGCAACGTAACCAAAGTCCTTAGGGTTTTCGTTGATGCTCTATTAGACGTCCCGGATCACAGGAGGATCCCTCTATTCAAACAGCTTTTGGATAGAATCGACGTCAAAAAAAATCTCTTCCTTTTTCTTCTGCTTATTTTCGAAACACAAGTAACGCATGCCTCGTTTAATAAACAAAGAAAGAATGGAGTTCCGAATAAACTAGACGTAGCTACTGACTTGTGCAAAGAATTCCCTCCGGATATTATTATCTACAATGGCATCAAATTGATAAAATACCTGCAAGAATTGCCAGATGAGAAGGAAGAAAATACAGAAATTAATAGTAAGTGGAAAGCAATTGAAACAACTCTATGAATCAGATTCAACATATACTTTTTCAGATGCAGAAAATTTGACTTTCAACTTGTCAACCCACACCCCCAAAGACTTCCGCCACTACAAATACATCTTAGTTAAATTCATATCGAATTTACTGAGCTCATCCCAATTCGTCAATTCCGTAGCAGCCTTAACAGACGAAGCCGAGCTTCAACTGGAACCTTTATTCAAAGATTTAATAGTGGTTATCCTGCAGTACGTCCAAAGGATATCGAAAGTAGCCGAAAGAAATGCTAATACTCCTCAAGCGCAATACTGGAAAGTCATGTTGCACTTGAGTTACGATGTATTAGATAGCGTAAATGCGTTACTGACATCCCAGATGTTCCTCTTGGTAACCAAAGGATTGATGGTGCATAAATTGGGCACAGTACGAAGGAGAATACTGGAGTTGTTGAATAATAAACTCCAGTACAATCAACAGTTTTTCGAAGATTGCGATAAGAACGATATATATTCGTTAATACCTTCAATCGTTACGATTATAGAAAGCGTTGAAGAAGAAATCGACAGCGAACAAGAAACTATTGTACAAACATCGCTGCTATCGCTCAAACTGCTGGTCAAATCGCTAGCGTGGCAGGAACCCGAAAAATTCGTCCAAATTCTGGAATTCATCACCGGCATTCTACAATCGGGGAAAGTACAGAACAACGTATTGGCTTCGGTCGTACTGTGCTTGGCTGAACTGTGCGTTAATCTTAAAGGTCACGCAATTTCTAGCCTTCCCGAGTTCATGCCGGCTCTGATGCAGATTCTGAAGAAGCAGAAGAACGGCGATGGGAACAGCGTGTTGTTGAGGAGTTTGGTGACTGCTGTGGAGAAGGTGTTAGATAGTATGCCGTTGTTTTTGAGCCCGTATTTAGAGAAACTGTTGACAGAGATATCGCTGTTGATGTCTAGGTGGATTACCAGCGAGGAAAAGGAGGTAGGTTTTTGTTATTTGTCATTTAACCCCTTCAGTTTATCATTCAAATTCACTATCCATGACGACTTCTAGTATAAGCTAAGCTTGATGTCCTTCAACGATGTTGCAGGGGTCGATTTAAGAATTGAGAGAGCCAGGAAATGTTTGTACCGACGAGAGTCGGAATCTGATATACTTGTGTTTTCTTTTCTTAATTTTTCAGCTTTTGGTCTAAGTCTAAGCCAACGATACTCAACCTTGCCTCATCGGGAATGTTGATGACAATAATATAAGTGTATAGTTTGCATATGGAGGAGTAACAAAGTCAAATGCTGAATCCTTTGCAAAAGTAGTATAATTCATTATTAAAAAATTGTTTAATTGCGAAAATTTGCTGCTCGGGATTATGAAAACAAAATTGTATGGCATTATAGAAAGCAACAGAAGATATCTTATATTGAACACCCGTTGACTTGTAGTCCATTTAAAATAACGGTAAAAGGTCGAGAAACGCCGCACTTGACGAGACCACTTGTCCCCTACGTATTTTGGGGCGCTGATTACGAAAATGAGGGTTAAAACTGGCAGCAATGGTTGGAACACTCCTAAAATTGCAAAAAAAAACACACCCCTGAATAGGGGTGTTTTCCGACTGTATTTGTTGTTTGCAAACTAACTCATCTCATATGTTTTTTGGGGCGCTGATTACGTAAATCGGGGTTAAAACTGTTTAGCAATGGTCGAACCACCCTTAAAATCCACCGGTTGGGAGGGATGTTTCTGGCATGTGGGGGGGGTGTTACACAAATTTGCCAGACTCGACACCCCGATTTTCGAAATCAGTGACCCAAAATACGTAGGGGACAAGTGGTGTCGTCAGGTGCAGCATTTCTCGACTTTTTACCGTTATTTTAAATGGACTATTGAAGCACTTTGCAGAGATTTAAACGAAAAAATATTTCTCATTTAAATTTTAAATTTAAAAAAAAGTCGGAAAAAGATTGTAGGTTTTAGCAGTTTGGTTAAGAAAACTTTTTTCCAAAATTCGATTAAATAAATAAAAAATATATATTTTAAAGGTTTACAAAAAAAAAAAAAACATGAACTGTCCCGGAAATAATGATTGCTTCTGAATTACTACCTTACTTTTCATATAGAATAAAAAAGAACAGCTTAACCGCAATTTTGTGGTGTCCGGTTTGCTTTTAATGCCAACCATTATGGTAAAAAAGTAGAAAAACTAGATAAATATATGATTAAATGATAAAAATTAATTTATAAATAATAAAAATATGCGAAAGTATAATTACGATTTGTTAATGGACCTAGAACCACTTTGATATAGTCGATCGATAAAACGGATTCCATAATACGTACAGTGCACGATTTGGCTGATAAAATCTGGTACACCATCGTAGCGAAGAGGTTAATATATTAATACATCATTTTCTATTTGTTTAAACAGGTACAGCCATTCACAAATAAATTGAGCAGCATAAAACAGAAAATAGGATCGTCGATATCCCTTAGAACTCTTCTACCGGCTATGGAGATCTGTTATAATAAATTAGTGAGGAAATCTTGTTACAACGCCTGTTGCTCTTTAATGGACATTTTAGCGAAAAGCATCACCAACGCCACCGCATCAGACATCAATTCCAATCTAAACGAATTAACGAATTTCTTCTTGGACATACTCAAATTCCGCGCCGATTCAAATTGCGACTTGGATGAGGCCAATATGGTGGAGAATCATATAATCGGAGCGTTTACAGTCTTAGTGTTGAAATTGTCTGAAAATTCCTTCAGACCGTTGTATTACAAAGTCTACGATTGGGCTATCAGGAGCAGAGATAAAAGCGAGAGGGTTATAACGTTTTATAATTTCTCCAGTAAAATTGCGCATTCACTTAAAGGGTTATTCCTGTTATTCGCAGGACATTTTATCGGTAATGCAGCCCAAATTTTAGACGCTTGCAACAATATCAAGACCGATAAATTATATTTTGATGACGATTTAAAAAATATTTTGCTTTTGGAAAACGTTTTAAGCACTTTAGACGCCCTATTTATGTACGACACTCAAAAATTCATCAACAGAGATAGATTTGACATCCTGATGCAACCATTGGTAGACCAACTGGAAAACACTCTCGGAGGTACTGATGCATTGATGACACGTAACGAGAAGTTGCTAGTACCGTGTTTAGTACATTTTTCTGTAGCTACTTCGGACGATTCGTTGTGGAAGCAATTGAACTACCAGGTTTTGTTGAAGATGCGACACAACAGTGCGAAAATTCGATTGTGTGCTTTACAATATCTCACCGAGTTCGTAAACAAGTTGGGAGAAGATTTTCTGCCATTGTTGCCAGAGACTATACCATTTTTGGCAGAATTGTTAGAGGACGAAGAAGAGGATGTTGAGAAAGCTTGTCGGAAGGCTGTGCAAGAGATGGAGAAGGTATTGGGAGAGCCGTTACAAAAATATTTTTAATTCTTAGGTTATGCGTAATTTAAGATACGCAGTAAATGTTAATGTGTAAATATGTATTTTGTCAAATTTAACTAAATAAATTGGTAAAAATTAAATTATGTGGGTAATTTCATTTGCGCAATATTTATTTCTTTATTTTTTCAAGGAATTTTTTTTGATGCCGTCGATTTTTTTTATGATTTTCGGGGTAACCATTTGTTGGTAATTTGATTTGAGTAATATTTATTTTTTTAATTTTGTTTGGGTATTTTTTGGGGCAATCCGATTCTTTTAATTTTTGGGGATAATGATAATATTTACTTCTGTATATTTTCGGGATAACTTTTTTGTATATTTTTTTGTTTTTTGGGTAATATTATGACGTTGCGACCAAGATTCACTTCTGAACGATAAATGACAGAACAAAAAAACTTTTTTTACCTGGCTTATGTTTATTTTGATTGAAAAATAACAAATACTTAAACTCTATTTTTAAGACAACAAATATACTTAATTACAAATAAATACATTTCAGAATAATAGACATTCAGTTTTAAAAAGATATTATAAGGAGGATCAAAAGTGAGAGAGGAAACCACAGAATGGGAATAATGAAGGGTTCAAAATAGCTGGAAAATGGATCAAAGTAGAAGGGGTTTTGTAGGGATTGATAATAGAACTTCCTTTTATTATATCCTAACAATCATCATACTGTGTGTACCGAGTAAACAAACGTTTATCAGCAAGGTTAAATTCACAACATAGATAGATACATTATAATATAATCTTAATCACTTTCGTTCCCGTTTTTGGGTACTTGTTGGTTTTTCAAACCATCTCGTAACTGAAGAACGTGCTCTACCGGTTTAGGTTTGCCGTCTTCGCCAACAACACAAGGTCTAATTTTTCCCGATGCCATCAAGCTGTCCATTAACTCCACCAATTTCATCGCCTCGTACTCTTTCTGCAAAAAAAAATAGTTGAACTGAACAAACTGAAAACATTTTAATTGTGATAGTTCAAATGTATTTGTAACTAAAAAGAAGGAAAGCTGATTATCCTGAATATTTTTCTTTGCAGTAGGTAGTTCTATGTTACCGGTATTGAAATTGATGTATTATTTAATACATCTTCATTTCCTTTTAAAAAAATTTCTATATACAGTTAATTTTATCTCATTACTATTAAGTTTCTTCTGGACCCTAGATGCCCCTGAAGTGTCCATTGAGTATTTATATTTTTCTTGCCACCTTATCTTACTTGGAAGTTTTGTATGGTCTTAATTTTATTATTTTAGTCTCCCTGAAAAAGCAATTGACATTGACGTACCTGTTCTTCTGACATGTTTTCCAAACAACTGCGACGCGGTTCTTCGTAACAACCGATCACTGGATTGATTCCGTGTTTGCTATCGGCGTATTCTTCTGTTTCGCTGTCTTCACTATCTGAGCTGTAGTCAACGTCGCTCTGATCTCTGCCTCCAGCTAGCAGTCCCTTTTGGGCGAAGAGGCCAGCCGCGTTACCATATCCGGTATATTTAATCATACGTGGAACTGAAAAGGAAACCAATTAGACGAGATATAGATCAAACAATGCTCCCATAAGGATCTTACCGTTCTTTTTGCAAAGGACAAACAGTAATTCTGCTACCAAATCTCGCAATTGGGTAATAGGAGTGGTAAGCATTCGGCACAAATGGTTCCTTAGAGCATCGCCTTCTTCAGGTCTCGAGTAGACGTCCTTTAGCGGCGGTAAAATCTGTATTCTGAGAAATTTTCTTATTGGCCTGTAACTAATTGCTCCTTTTAACAAAACTGTTACTATTGGAGATAATACTTCGTGTTGATTGGATATTTTCTACAACAAACAGACCAAATAATTTGTGATTACTACTCATTCGTTTGTTATCTTACCGGATAATCATTAAACTTGGCCTTCAGACACATCAAAATCTCAAACAAAACGGTCATGTTATGTCCCTCGAATTGTAAACTTTTTAATATTTGACTGTGATCATCAGTAGGAGGTACGAGGTGTTTGTATGTATCTTCTGGCATATTGGTGAGAAGATTGATGGCGTCATTACGCAGAGTCCAAGTTTTATCCAAATCCGTCGAAGGAATTATTAAATAACTTCGGAGAAGTTTTACAAGAGCAAGGCAGCTCGCTAGTACTTCCGGTTCAGATTCGTCTACCCCTATTGTGATATTAAAAAGTACTTTTAGAATTTCGGACGATAAGTTTACTTGGATGTCCTGAAAAAACATCTTTAGAAACAAGTATAGAAACAAGCAGGGGTTTTAATAAATTCCCAATTCTATTTGACCATAGACTTCCTTTATGACATAATATATGTAATTCTAGATATGTAGCTATAGAAATTCTAGTTAGTATTTGGAGAAAAAAAAAACGATTAACTGATGGGCAATATGTTTTATAACCATTATAAATTAATTGTTTATTTTTCATAATATAATTTCTATGCATTGGAGACAAAAACAAATTAGATGTTAGGATAGTCATATAATTTTAACCTTCATATACATTAAATGAAAAATGCCATAGTTTTGTTACTTTTATACAGAACGGACTTATAATTTGGTTATTAAAACTTTGTCACTATTTCTACATTTAGTTTGCTTTCTTCCTTAAACCACTAAATAACAGAAATAACCATTCTAAGATTTAAAGATCTATCAAAATATTTGTATTAGCCATCTCTACTTCTACTATGCAGAGACGAAATAACAATTATTTCAATACTTTTGGAAAATGTAAATAACTACTTAATGAGTGATAATCAAAATTAGTATGATCCTTATTTTTGTATTTTATCTTCACCAATTTTGGAATAGATCTAATTAACCCTCTTCCAACTAGTATAACAACTATCCTTACTGTTAAAAATATTGGCGGCAGATTTTCATGTCCTAGATGGTTTTCTGCAGCCTTTTTTAAATTATCATCTAAAATTTGAATAAGCAAATCAATCATATGCTTCGCCTTGCTTCTTGCTTCGGGACACAAAGCAGTTATCAAAAACACCAGTCTCATATCCATGAATTTAATCTCCTCAGGTGTACTGCCATCACTAGAATAAATCCGCGTACACATTAAAGACTACAAATTTAAAATATCCCTCTTACCCTAGATTCGCTATTCTTTTTGTGAGACCTTCAAAAATGCCATTTTCAACGGTTTTCATAGCCAATTGGCGAGAGTTAAACAGTATATTTGAGAAGCATTTCAAAACTTCGATGCAGATATTTTTTTGGTCGTCATTTAAATCAAATTTGTCTTTATTAAGAGCCGAATATTCCTTCATCAACTCTGTCCAATCATCGTTGATGACTTCTAGTAGGTGGCCCTTTTCCCGACTGAAATGTCAAAAGTTAAAATTTCAACAAAACAACATGAGTGATGAATAATTTAATAGATGATTTTATAATTTAAATAATTGTGATAATTCTGATGTGTCTATTATCTGAAATAAAGAACAAGTATAGAACAAGCCATAAAAAAGATAAAGCCAAATAATATTTCACCATATATGTTAAAGGTAGGGCTGCCAGATTTTCAGAAATAAAAAGCGGGAGGTTTTAATTTTTGAAGAAAAAAACATTTATTTTAATTAAATACCTATTAAATATGCAAAGATATTATTCTTGCATTAAAACAAAAACAAATTTCAATACCTGATTAATAAAACATTTTTAGCAAGTCAACATACAAGTAGGTATACCTACCTATTCTTAATTTTGGTATCATTTTTGGTAATTTTCATGTCACACTGTGCATTTGTATAAACAAACACTAAAAAAAATTAACAATGGGTGGGTTTATACTTGAACTAAAACATATAATTCCAGCTCTTTTGGTTTTTTCTGTAAACAAACAGATTATTTTAAAGTATTCTTTGCACTTACTTTTTCCTTCCTTTTGCAAAATTTTTTCAAATTCTTGGCAAGTTTCAGTATAATTAAATTTTGTTTCTTTAGAAAGAGAATTTCTTTCTTTCCTCTAGGCTACAAACATTAGACTAAAAATGCTCTCACTCATCGCGTTTGAGTGAGGAAGAGAAAAATCATAAGAACAAATTTTGAAAAAATTTGGAGATAAACCCATTGCTGGTCAATTTTAATGTCTTTAAAATTTAGTGGTGGGTTTTCCAAATATGATGACAACTTTACAAATTCTTCTAAAAGTAGGTCAATATCTACACTAATAGGCAAACACATCAGAAATTTTTATGAAATCGTCCAATCTAGGGTTTGTTTTCAAATCTATCGCCCCCAAACATATAAAAGATGGCGCTTGTAGAAATTACGACGTTTGTAGATATGGGCGGGATGACCGATAATTTGATAGCATATTAATAGTTTTTTAATATTATCTATTCAATGTAAATTCGGGGTAAATTAGGAGATTTCTGCAAAATCGGGAGGTTTATAGCTTAGTTTAAAAAGCGGGAGGGAGTGTGAGAAATCGGGAGGCTCCCGCCTAAATCGGGAGGTATGGCAGCCCTAGTTAAAGGATGTATATAGTCACTTTTGTTAAAAATACCACGGTCATCTACATACAGTGGCGTAGTATGTATTTTTCATGGGAGGGGTTTTTTGAGAACTATGGGGGGGGGGTGTTCTATCTAGAAAGTGAATAAAAACAAACAGTTAATAGCGATCAGCGCCAATACTATATCGGAAATGGTGACGCGAGGACCTTCCATAGGAGGGGCTCTAACCCCCCCCCTCCCCGTGGCCACGCCATTGTCTACATATTTATAATTTAATTGTTAAAAGTTTGATATTCAGTTTGCAATGGAAAATATCTTATTATACCTACATCTATTCATAAAGCAGGAAAAACATCAAAAATTGAAAACTATAGAGTAATTGCTTTGTTTCATAACTTTTCGAATTATTTATAGCAAATATAAGAATTGATTAATTATTGATCATAACCAATTTAAAATTGTTTTATATGAAATATAGATAAGTAAGTCCAGCATTTTTTCTTGTACTTTATATTACGAATACTAATGTAAAAAGACTAATAGGCATGTTTGAGTTACCCCTAATAAATAAAATAAATATCTCTGGATTAATTTATCTGGACAGATTACATTTTTTTACACAATCGTCTGAAAGAAAATACACTCTTAAAAATATGTTTAACTTTGTAACTTGCTGTTATATTGCATGATATATACCTAATTAACAATATATAATTGATTTTTATAAAAAAATCTATATTTTCCAGTGTTAGCTGTAGGAGTTGAGAAGAAAATGTATAAATATATTTAGTTTTACTGGAAATTCGTAGGCAAATCAATTAGTCTATGTGGTTTTCATTATCAAAAAAAGTAAATTTTAAACAACTTAGTTTCTTAAGACATCTTTACAATCTCTACATGCAAACTTTATGAACGGTGTTCAATATTAAAATTATTGCCAGGAAACATATTTTTTTTTTTTTTTTTTTGAAAACCACATTTAAAGTAACACTACAAATTTGAATGCCAACCATAACTTGAAAAACGTGAAAATTGAAACAAATTATTGCACATAACTTCTCAAATAGGTATTTAGATACTCATTTAACAATAAAGAAACAATATATATTAACACAATTATAATTAAATCTAATTACTATGAAAAGTGGTATTTTTATCTGAAAATTGTCACATATAGGATTAGCTAGTAGATAAAAATGATTAATAATAAAAACATGTATCATCAGTAATCTATAAAACAATGAATGACAAAACATTTATGAATATTTCATATTTATATAAAATACCTGAGAATTCTCACTGCTATAAAAGAATTTTTAATAGTATTAGGATCATCCGACAATTTGGCAATATTATACAACGCTTTCCATACATCTTTCCTTTTAGTACCATCATTTAATTCCGGAAACGCAAATACATTTAACGACTACAAAATAAATATTTACTAAGCATTACCATCTTTAAATAAATAAACATGTATTATAAATTATAATGAAACATTCATTTGGGCGTATTAGAGAATTTGTTTATAATATACGACGAATTAGAAAAGCATATATATCTTACATATTTTAAAAAATCTTCAAGGACCTGTCCCCAATTTTCTTTTTCCGCAGAAATTATAAAATCAATTGTATTCATTTTTAAAAAACAATCAAGTAGAGGTTTTTAAATGTTAAATTGACTTTTTTTTTGACATTTACAATTTGACAAATGCAGTGTTGTTCCTCATATGGCAATTTTCTGTAATTATGCGGCGTTCGGCAATACGTACTCCTTTCACACTTTTGACTCTTAAATCATCCGTTTCACAGCAGTAGGTTTGAATTTCTAGCTGTTTGAAAATAATAATAATAATCGCAATCACAAAGAAACTTACTAATGATTCTATAGTATAGAATCAAAGCTAGTTACAAATATCCTACAAAAAACTTACCCTAAAATCGCTCCAAACCCTCAGTTATACTAGGTCTTTTCCTTTGCATCGAAAGTGTAGCACTGAGCTACACCACTTCTGAAAATATCGTTCCATTTATACAAATTGTATGGATGGAACGATATTTTCAGAAGTGATGTATCTCAGTGCTACACTTTCGATGCAAAGGAAAAGACCTAATGACAGCGTAAAAGTGACCTTTGTGAATCGATAAACAGACATTTAATAACTAGACTAGAAATTATAATCTAAAATAGTGTTGCAATTTATGAAACTTGATATAGCAGAACACATTGCGATGCGCTGTTTGTGGTCTTATTTACATCTGGATGAGCAATCTATATCATAATAGCATTGGCTTTTAAGTTTGGCAACAATGCCAAATTATGTTATTAGACATTTGACACTGTTGACAGTGACATTACACAATAAAAAAAATGGCAAGTGGCCCCAAAATAGCAACAACTCCTCTGGAATTATTATCAGGACCAGCTCCTGAGCCTCCTTTTTTAAGCAAATATTGGGCACCGTTCGCATGTGGTGTAATAGGATTTTCCAGCGTTTGCTTAGCTAACTATGTCACGAAAAGACCAGTTTGGAGCGGTAAACATAACCACAATGTGTTTATTACATAATTAATCTGATTCTTATAGGCCTCCAGAAACACGTACTGTTATCTGCCGGTTTAGCGGGTATCGGTAAGGTCGTTGATGATTATAGGAACCAATATATGGCTGATAGGGACGCTGTATTAAGACATTATGTTGAACTTCACCCTGAAGATTTTCCACCTTTCGGTATGCAATATAATAACAGTTTTTGATCGAATTTAAAGTTTTTTTATTTTCAGAGAGGAAACAATATAAGGATATCCTAGAATCTTGGATTCCCATTCGTTAATAGATTTTGAAATTTGTATAGTTTTATTGTGAATTGAAATAAATTAGATTGTTACTATATAGGAGAAATAAAACATCGTAATTATTCGCTTATTTATTACCGATAGTGGGCGAAAATACATGTATGTAAAGTTCTAACTGAATACATGATCAGAACAATTCTAGAAGTGCCGTACATATCTTCCGTTTTCAAGAGAAACCTACCAAATATAACAATACTTATACAATCATTTCCAAACTTCAAAGTTAAACTTCTCATAATAATACAACATTAACAAATAAAATGGAAGATTCTCATATTTTTTGTTTTGTTAGAAAAATACATGTATCAATAATACCTAATACATCTATACTACAATTATAATAAATACATTAGTCACCCTTATTCATCACAGACTACAATGACTTCGAATAATTTTTGCCCTGATTATACAATTTCTCTTCAACGCGACGGGCTAGAGGGAACTACAAATTCATTTTAAACACTGGATGGAATATTAATATCAAACTATAATTGGTAATAGTACTCTTGTCTAAACAGCCCTGCAGTACTGATATTCAATACTGACATTGCCAGGAACACAAAGAATATTGCATTGCTTTGAATATATCAGAAATTCATGTTAACCAAGTTTTAAACCCATTTTTTTTTTAATAATTTTTAAAATTCACAGCTTTCTATAATAATTTTAATATTGCATGGCACACAACATTTTATTAAAATATTTATGTATTGGACTCATGAGATAAGGAATTTAAATTATATTATATATTACTTAATCAAAATGGTTTGAGAAAGTTGCAGTTTTATATTAGAGCCCATAGAGCAACTTTTGTATTCGAATGTCAAATGTAAAAAACTTCGATTTTCGGACCTAAAACGTGCCTGCCTTATGGCTATTGGAATCAAGAAAATCAGGTGACCACCAAAACATTTTACCTTCATTAAGCCTTGGTTTCTTTGAACACTTCGTCGCGGTGAGCGGACAGTCCGTCAACCGTCGCGTTTTGACGATTTTATCCAACCAGAGTATTTAAATGGGAATGGTTTTCTTGAATCCGCTTAGCTGAACAGGACGGCGTCATGCCGCTGATTTGTCGCGAAGAGTCGGTTGAGTTTGATATCAGCGGAATCGTCGGCGTGTGCGGAGACTATATTGTTATTAATTTTAAAACAATGAGTGACAAATTTACACATACAGATGACATCATGACTTTATTTTTAGGTTTCTTGGAAATTATGTCCTTTATAAAACTCAACACGAATTCAAAAAGATCTGTAGAAAGTCTAAAATACTCTCTAAATTTGGTTTCATTTCCAAAAAGCCTCCGCTGCACAGTGATATTAAAGGCACCTTCTGTATCGCGACACAAAAACAACTCATCCACTGGCTTATTGGAAACTTTGACGGTTGCAATTGCCAGTTCCTCTTGTTCTTTCTCTTCCAACAATAATAACAACGCAAACAATTTATTTGCATCCATTTTTAGTACCTTTCGTTTACATTCATAATACATAAACAGCACGTACAGACATAGAGAAAGATAATTTTCTATATTTTTTAACAAACCACATCGGGCGAAAATTGCTGTCCTCAGCGGTCGACGGACTGTCCGCTCACTGCGACGGAGTGTTCAAAGAAACCAAGGCTTTAGAAGAAAACAGCGTTTTCGTATTAGATAAATATATGGTGGGAGTCTTGAGACTGAAAGTTGGGTTATAATTAACAGTATTATTCTTTAAGTGGCCAGATCCCACCGAGCACCAAAAAAATGATTTCATATCTAAAAACAGATTCAAAACCAGCAAAAGCGAGAGACATCACTGAAAATTATACTCAATTTAGAAACAGTTTCTTCAATGTAGGCATTCATCAATGAAAACACCCAAAGACTGCATCGTTCTTACATTATATGGCTTTTCATTACTAAAGATAGTAACACGTATTCTGAAAAAGACGATTCAATTTATAAAGTTTTGTAGTCGATTCAATTATTTGTGTAACGTATAAACTTATCTTAAAAAAAATTATTTTTATAACTTTCATGAATTTCTGATATATTTGAAGCAATTAAATTCCTTATTGAGATCCCGGTATATATCAATGTCATCATAATCAGTAGTGAACAGTTGTTTACGCCGCTGCAGCTGCTTGGAGTTGATCTGAGTGTCTCGTAACATCTAAATCTGAACTTTTTTGCAATTTTCTAATTGTGACCCAAAGACTCCATTTATTAAAAAGCTTTCACATCTCCATATTTGTAAAATTTTAGTGGCTTTGATTCTAGATTTAAATTATGTAAACTACTTTTTGAGATTTGAAATAAATTTGTTCTTCCCTCAACAACACTTTTTAAAACAAAATGATGAATTAGCGAGTGTCTTTGTGTTTCTCAAAAAAAGAATCCGAACTATATATATATTAAAAAAAAATAATCAGCTATATAATATATATTATATAAATTTTTGATTATACATCATATAAATCCATTTAAAATTTCTACACCATTCATGTTCCTTTCTATATATATAAATTCAACTTGAAAGTTCAAAATCATTTACAACTTACGATATCATTATTAATATTGTCTAAATATCCGAATACAAAAATAAAATCGGCTTTGTTGAAGCGTTTTTTGTTTTCACTAAATTATTTTCTCTTATCATCTAAGATTTGTGATTCTGAAATTGATTTGAAAGTGTTGCGCAAAAACCAATCGAGTCAATTTTTTTTTTAGAAAATATTCCTTATGACTTATGCACAATAATTAAAGAAAAATAGACCAGAGTATTTTTTTGCCCAACCCCAATATTATGGCAAGTGTACTTTATACTATTTACACTTCAACCCACCATATTGTTTTATAAATAAGCAATATAGGTATATTTTTTATATATTTTTGATTTAAGAAATATTGTTGTAAATTGCCGATTGATTAAAACATATATTGGACGTGCTGAACATCCATGATCCTTTCGAAAGTTCATCTATGTAGAGGGAAATCCGAAAAACATCACAAAAAGTGTATTTTGTAATAGTAAAAAAAAATTGTCGAACTTTTAATCATTTTTATAGCACTAACAGTAATAAGCTACTAAAGTTAAGACCCTGTCTAAACCCTATATATCAAGTTTTTGAAATTAAAAGAATGACAACTTATAAGAAATAAAGCTGATCACCAAAAATAGAACACAAAATGTTAATCTGTCAAAATTGTTCGAAAATATCTGCACACTCCAGAAAACTATTTTAGAATAAAGATCCATAATGGTTTACGAATTGGAGTCATTATAATTATGTTAGGGGACGATCAAACGTCGAAGAAATAAACATCTAAACCTTTTTGGATCTTTATTGTACCATTATATCGATTGTCCACTCTATTTAAAAGTCGAAGTTCGATATTTAAATTGTATTTTTCGAATTGTCACACCCTTTGAGGTCATTATAATTCTATTAAGGAGTGGTCAAACATTGAAACATAATTTTAAACCATTATTCACCTTAATTGTGTCTTTATGTTGATTAATAATTTTTTTCAAGACAAAATAATATTGTTTCTTCGAATTTTTACTGTTATTGGATCTTAATTTTGCCTTCCTGATGATTGATCATTTTTTGAAAGTTGAAATTCGTCCAACCATTTTTTTTGTAATATACCCCTTGAAATTATTTTAAGTTTCATATAAAAATACAGTAAATCATTTCAAATATCTATCTTTGTTCTATAAGTGGTGATAAAACTTTTCATTACTTTTGTCGACAATCAGCAAATGGTTTTTTTTTGTATATAAACAAATTGCACAAAATGTTTACACAATGCTGCAGTTACTGAAGTGATTGATAAAAGAGACATCGATGAGGTAACAGCGACTTATAGTTAAGTAGGTTCTTTAGGAATTATTGTGATGTATCCAGCAAAAGTATGTACATTACATTTTGATGGCGCAAATACCACTGAAAATTGAAAACAGTTTATCAAAAGAAAATGAAATACCACCAATCACAATAAATAGGATTTTCGACTGTCAATTCAAGTGTTAAAATGATAAATACGCCAGTGCCTTCTTTTTAAAAAAATTTCAATTCTCAATGACATTCTTCATGTATAAGAAAATTATAGGTATATTTATAATTATATTTTCTGAATCTAATCAATCAGATCTAAATCACCAGATCCTATAATATTCCTTGAAATCTTATAAGATAATAAATAGCACAAAAACCACAAAGATCGGACATATTTCAGATTGCTTAAAGCAAAATATTGATACCAAAACTAAAATAAACCTTCCCATACCAATTTTTTTACTTACATATTAGAATAAAAAATATAACACGATTATTAACAAAATACCAGAACTGGGAAGGATTTGAATCTAAGCCCAACTAAATTGGTTTCTTCAGAGATACTTTTACATTTTTCAATTTACTTGTTTCTGCAACGATAAAAATTATGTACACCTTCTTATTCTTTAATAAACCTGACACTTTTCTTCAGATACCTTTTGGTATTAAATTTTACAACACAATTGGGGATGAAATTGTGTATTTTTTTGTAATACGTGAAACTATATTTTAGTTTTGATATGAACTTTGCCAATAGCTGGAAAATTTACCAGAAATTAAAATGTGTTTCAAGTAAACAAAATCAGTTTTTCACAATATTATTTTATAACGATCCCAGAATACATAAGGCTAATAAATTAAAAATAACTAGTAACCACTGAGATTTTTATGAGGTCAATGATCTCATCCTCAATTTGAATACCCATTTCACCACTACTCCGCGAAACAAACAAAATTCCCATTTTAGTTTCTGATAAGATTCCAGCGCACTAATAAAACATTTATATGCATTAAAATGCATCAACATCTTAAAAATTACGAACGCGATCTAATCGCGCAAGGGAATGTATAACAAACATGTTAACAGCTAAAGTGAAGAATAATAAACAAACTATCATCTTCTTGTTCGAAACGAGTTCAATCAGAAGCATTACAAGCGTTTGCTAATGGACGCATGCGGCCCTGTGTGTGTGTATATAGTGAATTGCTCAAAAAAATATTGCGGAAAAAGTTACGTGCAACAATGTTCATATTAATTCTAACAAATATAACAATTCAAGAAGGGTTTCTTCAAGAATTACTACGGGTATTTAAGAATATTTTAGATAAAAAATTTATTAGGTGGTTCAGAAATATGGTACAGATTATATTAACAATTCTTCTTCCTTCTTATTCTAAAAATTTTATTTTACCTCCATTAATGTTAACTGCACCATCAAACTTTATAACTTTTTAATCCAATTATTTTCAGGAGTGGAAATTATTTTAATTTTGAACAACTTGTTGATATAAATGATTTCAACATATAGAGTCCAGAACTTCATATTTATTTTCTTAATTTTGACGGTATCTTTGTGATACGGTTCATTAAAATCTTTCCGCATTTCAAAACCCTCTTAAAAAGTTGAATAAAACAGAACATTTTCTTTAAATACCGGTAGTAAATTCACCGTTAACAAAAATTATGTTAAAAAATAAATATATTAAGGGAATTAACTCATCAGTTCTTTACAAAACAAATAATACTGATTATATTATCAATAAAAAAAATAATGTAAAAATTGTGTGGACAATAAAAGCTAAAAAAATGGCAAGTTAATTAAAATATAATAATATAAATAAGTAATATTATATCAACTAATTTGTGGATTATATCAAATAATTTTAACCCATAGGAGACAAGAGAAAAACAAACTCACACTATGACCAAAATTTCGCCCCCTTTTTGACGTTATTGACACTATATATTTAGCTTTAAAACAAACAAGAGTGAGTCAAACATCTAAAAGTTATAGCATACTTGAATATATCAAAAAAACATGTCAAAAATCTAATATGTAATGTCAATTGTCACGTCAAACGTCAAAATATCTAAAGGAGGTAGATAATGGGGAAATATTTTTAGATGCGGACATTACTGCTTTCCGATTTTGGTAAAAGGGCTTAATAGCTTTAATAATTTTTTTTTTTTTTCAAAATATAATAAATAAATAAATACTTCTCCAAAATCAGACGATATTCTTGTCTACACTTTTAGGGAGTTAGTAAAATTCGCTAATAATGTTTCGACTTTTGAATAACAGTGTTAATTATAATAATGACCTGCATTATTTCTTCATTTGTACCAAGTGACCCAAACAATTAACTCTGTCGAAAATATACAAATAAAACAGAGTTTTTATTGTCAAAAAATGTTTTTAAATAAAAAATTTCGTTTGATGCTCACAAATTACCGATACGTGTGAGGAAATATGATAAAATTAAATAGGGTGTAATTAAAATTATAGATTTTATAGTATAAAAGGGTTAAAAAATGTTGAATGCATATTTTTTTACAGGGTACTATTAAATTTGATTGACACGTGTCAAATTTGTAACAGTTGTTATTTCTTATCTTTCTTACCCAAGTATGAGAGGGATGTAATGAATCTATTTTTCATTCACTAATAAAAATTCATTTAAGTTTCCAAGCATTCGATTGAAAATTGTAAAATTTTGGTATAATAAGCACTACAGTTTTAAACTAGTTTTTAATTTTATTATAAAATTAATTTTTTGAAACTTTTAATATCCTGTATTTTGGCAACTGCGACCTTTAAGAGTTCATGTTACTACATCAAAATTCATCAATTAATGGGAGCTCTCAGGGGTAGAACCCTGTCAGTTGAATATAGTAACATCCTGTATATCATCCAAATTTATTACGTATTTTTTTGCACGTGACGCCATTTTGAATTTAAATATATAAAATCATATGTGGTATTTTTTTAAATTACAAATCCCCATACAAAAACAGAATTAGATGTACATTATTAAGAGTAAGGTACATATTTTTATATTTTGTTCAACAACTATACATTTTTTTCCTATCACAGTTAACATTAACATCACATCACTAGATAAAAATTAAAACAAAAAAACAACATTATTTGCAAAAATAATACAACCAAACTAATTTCCAATAATATCGGTAACTAGCGAGCAATAACTACCAAATAAATAAAGTAAAAAAAAATTGTTTAGTTTAAAAAATAAATTAATCAAAAAATATATTCACCGGTAAAGTTAAATTAAGTACATTTATATTTAAACCTCCTACTATGAGCTGTAATAACTATATGTGCGGACGATGTACAAAAATTAAAAAAAAATATATATATATATATATTTTAACTGCTTTTTATTCTTCTCGGTTGTAAAATTGAGTCACATACACTATACCTACTTTCAGGAAATCGGTAAAGGGGTATCTGCCATAAATCCTTCTTTGAATTCGACACACGACGCTTATGAAGTAGCTTTACTTCAACAGGAACTTCTATGGTTGTTATATGAGTTGGGACATTTGAAGAAGTACCCGACGGACATTGGAAATTTGGGGGATCTGGAAGAGATAGCAGCCACTGAAGCAAAAGTAAAGCTTTATTTCAGGAGGCCGTCACTTCGGCAAGGACTTATTACAGCAACCAACATGTCTATCCCTACACTTACCGTGGCGGCTATTTCTATCGCAGTAAAATGTACGAGGAGACGTTTGAAAGTGGCACGGCAAATGATAATAACAATAGCCGTCCCTTTCCCCGCACAAGCTCAGCTTTTGGGGTTAAAATTCACTCGTAAGGGGGTGAATTAGGGAGAGTATTATTATTATTTACAAAACTTTGGCTGTTCGAATAGCTTCTTAATAAAGTTAACAAAGTTTGACATGAGAGCTTTTTATACAAACTTAAAAACCATATGCCATATCAAATTTATATCATCTTAAAATCCTATTTGAATGAATGCTTCTTCCAAATAAAGATCAACTCCTCCCTTTCAAACCTATATCCCATCAACTCTGGAGTCTCCCAGAGCAGTATCCATGCACCTTTCTCAAGAAGACCAAAACCACAAAAACTTCTCTTATTATCGTTCAATTTAAATTATAAGACATTTGTATATTTATCAGCAAATTTTTATATTTTTGTAATTCTGTTATGTAGTTTATTCAAAATAAAAAAATTCTTCAGATCAGACTTTATACATCTTAGTTATATAAATATGACTCGACAAAAAAACGCAGATTTCAGTTTTTTAACCTCAAAAAAAAAAGGAAGAGGTTCTTAATTATTCGTCTTTTTTTTTAAATTTATGCTCAGCAATAATTCTTTACCACGTTGATCGATTTAGAAAGAGGATACCGCGAGGGTGATCCTATATAAATTCAAAACTCTTCATTTATGGAGTCTTACATCGTCCGAACATAAAGCATTTGAGCTCGTATAATAATAATAATAATAATAAAAAAAAACAACACCAAATCGCTTACTCCCTGCGCGCCCTTTTGGGCCTCAAACTATCCCCTCCTGGATCACCGCGCCCCTTTTTACCCACTTGTACCTGAGATTGCGCTGTCAAATGTAACGAAATGGCTTGGGTGTTGAGCTTCTCGGCTAGCAGAAGGTTCTTCAGCTGCTTCATCTTTTGGCTACGCAAAATGACCAATGGTTTCCTGTCCACCGGAGGCGGAGGGTCTTTGTCGCCTCCGTTCGTAGATGACGAGGACGGACTGCCCAAAGGATCTTCTTTCGAAGTGCTCGCACCACCGTTACGTTTGCATTCGGAAACGCCCGATTGATTAGCGAGCGGGTCAGGATAATCGCCACCTATGTTTGAAAATAGAAAATGGTATTCCGGGTGAAGCACTCAAAACTGTACTCATGGTTTTAAAAACGAAAAGGTCCTACGTTGGGAACTTAAATAAATAAAGACTTACCGACGAACGGCGATCCATCCCCTTGCAATAAATACTCGGGGTTAAGAATCTTCTCCGAGCAAGCAGCCGTTAGGGCCTCGATGCTGGGATGAAAAGGCGAATTGTCCTTGTCACTATGATTCTTCACGTTTGTAGATACGACAGAATCGCTGACGGCTGTAGATCCATTTTCTTTTTCGTAGTTATTATTGTTAAAATATGTACCGTTTTTCTTCAATAGTTTGTCTTCTTCAGACTTATCACAGACTATGTTTACCTGAGTTTAAAATAACAATTATATTCATAAAATAATTAGTTATATCAATCTTTTTTCTACTCATTTTGTAATCTTATATAGGTATAAATATTACACTGTTGTGACTTACCTGAGCTCGAACATCCGCATCGAATTTGGATATGGTGAGAACAAGAGGTTTGGCCCAGCCGATGTGTAAGACTGGCGTGGCGCTCCCTTCCTCCCATTGACATATACCGTCATAGAAACGCAACAAATCCGCGAAACATTTCGGTTTCTTCAATATCGTATTAGCACTAAACCCTGAGCTTTCGATTTTCATTATGTGAGGTATCAACTCGTTGGCTATTTCCAGGAATTCCTTGTAGATCTCCTCATCGTCCCTCGAATAATTGTAACTGGCGTAAAAACAACAGAAACGATCAACCAAAAATACATTGCAAATAAAGTGAGTAAAAAAAAATTAAAGTATATGGCTAGAAATCTACAAAGGAAGGAAATTTAAATAATCATTATCAAGCTTTAAAGGACTAAAATATGGACTCGCAAAGTAAATTTCCTCCTTGTCTGTAAGATAAAGATAAGTGAATTTGTCTACAAATATTATTTTCAAAAGGTAATTTGCTTGAAGGAAAAAGAAAGGAACTAAGAATGCCCCATTTGCTGGTACTACTGATAAAGATAAAATGTTTCACTGGACAACTGAGTAGACATAAAATGTCAGTATTCTGAGAAAAGTGCCCACAATATCTCCTTAACTGAGTATTTATTTTACAAAGAACTGTTACAGTCGCTGCTGATACCGCCGAGATGAATCTCTGGCGAATCGCTGGAGATTGCCACCGGCATGTCATCTCTCGCAAGTTTTTATGTTATTTTATAGAAAACATTAGTTTTCATGTTCTTTTATGGGGAAAATTTTGATATTTGTTCATTGTTTTTTGAGTTTTAAGAACAATGCGAGAGATGCCGGTGACAATCTCCAACAAGTCGCCACCTTTTTCGGGCTTTCGCCAACGGATCGCTGGTGATCGACTATGCATACGGGTGTTAGATTCTTAGCCATATTTTTTCTAAAGACTATCCCTAATTAAGAACTCAATAATATAGGAAAATCCTAAAATATTGAATCATCTATCAGATGCTGTAAAAGCAATTAGATATCCATTTTTATTTAGGAATACCATAAAAAATATACTGATTGAAAAACCAGTCTAAATCTACTCAAGTTCTATAATGAGGACTTTTAAAATTGAATATATTTGTTTCTATTTTTAGTATGATGAAATCTTGTACTCTCTATCTGGAAAAGTATATTATTACGTGTTATTCGTTTTCTTTACATACATACTCTTGACTATAAACAAATTTCGTAAATATGTAAAAGAAAAAAAAAAAAACAAAAATTTAAACCCAAATAAATACTCCAAAAATATTCAATGGGCTAGGCTTCTTTAGTTATCCAGGGCATTTTAAAAGAAGGTGGGACAAGGAAATAAAAAAGAAAGGAATCAGGTGAATAAACAAAGCTATCTTATAAACTTACAGTCTGATAACGTCGCTTGCGTTTGCCCAACTTTCAAACGCCTCCTCGTACATTTTATTGCGATAGAAATAGCCGCCCTGGTAAGTGTAGGGATACACATGTTGGTTGCTGTAGTAACTCCTTGCTGAAGTGACGGCCTCCTGGAATAAATCTTTACATGGCACTTTTCCTTCAGTGGCTGCTATCTCTTCCAGATCGCCCAAATTTCCAATGGCCATTGGGTACTTTTTTAAATGTCCTAACTCATATAACAACCACAGCAGTTCCTGTTGAAGTAAAGCTACTTCATAAGCGTCATGTGTCGAATTCAAAGATGGATTTATGGCAGATACTAAAGCAGCTACCTCCATGTGTCTTGTACAAATCACTGGTTTATTATTGACGTACAACCAAGATCTGGCAGATACCCCTTTACCGATTTCCTGGCCTCTTTTGTCTTCGTTTCCTTTACCATGCCAAGTTACTTCCGCCGTCTCAGTTCCGTTTTCGCCGAATATGACCCAAGCGTGGTCTTCTGATAGGGCCAAATGCACGTCATTGTAACCCAAGCACTGGCATCCCGCCACCACTGCAAATGCCACTCCAAAACAATCTAATTTGTTGCCGCTCAAGAAGCTGTAAAGGCTCTGTAAATGAGCCCTATCCTGAAAATAATTTGAATTCATTTTCCAAGCGCATTTTATAATATAATACAGGATATCAAAACAAAAGTATTAGTAACGGTATTAGAATTACTTCTGACAGCTAGTATGTGATTTCTCAAAAAATGAGTTAAGTACACTTATTTTTAACAAAATAAAAAATTGCTATAAAGAATAGTTTATCAGAATTGAAAACTACGATCAGAAATCAAATATCCATCTACCATAAAAGACGATCTTTAACACTTTATGGTATAAATACAGTAAGTAGAAAAATTCAAATATTTAGGGCTAATGATGACACAAATATGAAATTCATAGAACACAAATCAAAAGTCTCTTATCAAGAAATGCATTAATTTATTATTTATAAAATCAACCCTGAGTTACATTGATGTATCTAAAAGAGAAGCTTAATTATCACTCTATAATATGCGGAACAGAAATAAATTTTTTATTGACAGTATTAAGAATACAACACAAAATTACCTACTTTTTAAAGGTCTAGAGAAAACTAATCTGTAACTACATACAAGTAACAGATTATTTAATTGATGAATATTTTTTCAGAAACAATAACACAAGTAGTTAGTTTTTAATTGTATTTGTATTATTTGTTTTAACTTATATATATTTTTTACCTAAATTTGTATATTATGGGATACATTAGCAAACTAGCTGAATAAATGAAATATCCTTTAGGTTACTTGGTAGCATATTGAATAGTTTTGTTACCAAATTATTTTAGTAGTTGTAGGAGTTTGTAATAACAGTATAGATAGATATGAAGACTAGAAGAAGCGGATCAGCATACCTGAAATACGGTCCAAACACGAATGCTAATGAAGCTTTTACAATTCACCGCAGGGGCGCTGGTGTTACTACTGATGTTAAAAATACATATTCTTATGGAAATTTTACATAATTTTGTAAAAATCATAAAAATAACTTTATTACAAAATATAGCACAAAAAATAAGTCTTGCAAGTTTTAAGTAATAGTTTATTTAAGTTTATCTATATAAAATGCAAATTAGGTATGACCAAATTGGAACAGGTTTGTTAAATGGTGAAATTTGGTAAGTACAATTTTGTGGCAAATTTTTTTTTTAATTATATCTAAATATAGTTTTAAGGGCAAAATAAAACACAGTAAACAGATTTTTTTATTATTATAATACAAATATAAAAGGAGATTCGGGAATATACATGTATAGCCACATAATTTAAATTTGGCCTTCCTCTTTTTATTTTACCATCAGTAAAAATAGTCTTATAATAATTGGAAATATCTTCTAAAAAGTGTAGCTCATAAACAATATACTTAATCTTTAAAAAGATCTTGTATCAGCCCTAGGAATATGTTGCCACTGTTCTAAACATTTAGGATCCTATAATAATAATAATAATAATATTTATTGCTTCTAAACCTGAGTTACAGCAATGAGTACAGATATAAAAAATTAGATCTTAAAACATAAAAACAAAATTATTCTTCCAATACAAAAGAGCGCAATTTTAATATATTCCAAATATATTCAGCAATTTTCCTAGCTTAAAAAATTGTTATATTTTGTAAAGTATGCAGCAATGAGTTTACATTTTCAAGGCAAGCAATATTTTGCTTCATTGTTGAGTAAATAGGGCAATCAAAAAGTATGTGAAAAATAGTTTCTTTTTCATGTGTATTACACACAGTACAATCTAGTTCGGGGTCAATAACATAACTAATACCATTTAATGTAAATTTAATCCTAAAATGGTTGGACATACGCAATTGAGCAAGAGTACGGGTAACCTGGATTGGTAATTTAAAGAGTAAGTATGTACTTGGTTCACAAGATGTAGGAACGTAATTTTAGGATCCTATAAATAACATTTATATACAATGGTACAATGATAAATTTGGGGTTCTATGAAAAAATTACAGTAGTAACTCTTCATCTAACATAACTCTGAAAAAAAAAAAAAAAAAAAAAAAAAAAAAATTCTTTTCTACTAAGTTAAATTTAATGACTTACTGTTGTTTGTAAGTCAGGATTCATGTTCAAAAATAAATACAATATTTTACAAACACTGGGAGCTTTAAAAAGACTGAATATTTTTCATTGTTTCCTTTAGTTTTACAACTGATTTATATTCTGTTTTACAACCTGGAATGAAGTAAATCTTGCTTTGATGTTTTTTGTCACTTATGTTACTTGTACTCAGGAACTTTTTTCACATTATTTTGATTTTAAAACACTATAATTTACATTGACTTAGAAAATTGATGCCCCAACCTTCAACTACAGTCAATTTGGCAAACTTTATAAAAAGGATAGAAGTTTGACCATTGTCGATTCACCTCCTTCTCTCTAGTCTTCATGGATATACAATAGAGTCCTGACTGAATATTGTTATAATTATGTAGATCTGATATATAAGATAAATTAGTATTTTCCTTAATAAACAATACAGTTTCAGATAAATATAGATGTCAAAGTTAGAATAGTTAATGCCTTAAAAAATAATGGTTTACCTAAAGGTCATATCAGAATTAAGCAAAGGTAAAACGCTAAAAGATAGTTGAAAACTCACTGTAGTAAGCATATAATAACTCTCCGTCTATCCCTAGTACTAAAAGGGTAGACAGAGTAGTGTTTAAGGAATCCCTTAAGAAAAAAAATGTAATTAAAGATCCAGTGGTCGACAGACTTGTTTTCTCTTTTCTTCCTGACCGAAAAATATCATATTTTCGTATCATAAATATAAATAAGTACCTACCTTATAATAGCTTCTTGTCAAAGAATTCCAAATAACATCAGAGACCTTTTTGACCAAATCCCGTGTAGCAAACCCTTTCGCTTTGTTTTGATCTACGGCATTCAGCATAATGCTGCGGAATTTGTCATACAGTATTTCTACTGTTTTGATTTCAAGTATGGGCAAATTGTTTTGTTCCACTGGTTCACATACTTGGAGCGCCGCATTCGACCGGCTAGTTAGGGAATTTTCGATTACACCCGCTACGATTGAAAGTAGCGCTAGGTCGGGCTCCGAGGGACTTTCTAACTGATTCCTGAACAGTTGTACGACGTTATTGATGCTTTTTATTGGAAATAACACCTTGTCTAGATCCCGAAACCCAGCCATGTCGTAATTGTCGTATTAAATTTATTTCTTTGTTTTCTGACAGAAGACAGAAGTTCGCGCACCTGCCGATGTGTATCAGTTTTATTAGGCATTCCAGCGACTTGTCAAATTGCTACCTGTGGGCATTGATATGGCAACCCGGCAAACCTGGATTCTTTGACAGGGTCAATGATATATTATAATATAGATTGTTCAAAGTAGGTCGCCTTGCGAGCAGAAAATTATGCCTCGCAAGCGCTATTAGAATCGGTTTAGCAAAAATGTATTTAAAATTCAGTTCAGTCTGTTTTGAATAAAGTAAACAAAAATATTATCATTGTTCGAGGAGCCTGCCGCCGACAAGTACACGACTTATTACTGGTAAATAATCAGAAAGTGTGAGCAACAGCGATTTGTAATAAATCCCTTACAAGAAATCACCGCGAACGACTTGCGTACCAAAATGAATATCATACATTTTACTCAATGAACTGGAATGGAGTAGAATGCCAATGTGCATCAAGTATCAATAGAACTAGGTGCGATTCTTCGGGCGCAGCCATTTTTATTGTTCATCTCCTTCGGGACTACTATTTTGAATAAAAATAACGTCCAAGATGTTAATAAATATCGGATCTGTTAATTAAAAGTTTTAATACGACATAATAAATAATAATATGTATGTATATTATATCTAGAAAATTATGTATGAGGACAATCTTCTATTTATTCTTCATTTTTTGTTATTGAAAGCTTTCCACTTGCGTTTCTTTCAAATTTAATTGTCTATAAAAAGAAAATGATACATAAATGTAGGCACCAGTATTTATACCTCAACCGTAGTCATTAACTGAACTAAGGGGACCAGAATGGCCAAGGCCCCTAAGGAAATAAGATGTCTTGTCTACTTAGGCCACTTAGGGCCTGCCTCCCTCCTCCAGAAAAATAATCTAGTTAGAGCAGGGACAAAAGTTAGAGGTGGTAAATGTCGAACCCCTTCGAGAATTTCACGTTCTTTTCGCCAGTGTCGTATCGCAGAATAAAAATAATACTAATAATTTGTAAATTTTTTCCGACGGAATCGGGCAATCGATTGTTATTACATATGCCGCGTTTGAGAATCCACATCGGATGCATTTTTTACATCTCGGGCATTTTTTTATCCACATCGGACACATCTGTCCCATTACATTTTACGTATACTGAATCACGTGATCAAAGATTTACTACATCTCAGATACATCCGATGTGGATTCTCAAACGCGGCAATAGCATCTATAAAATAATTTTCCAATGTAAGCTCCGCTGCAAAATCATCAAATCCTGTGTACGAAAAGCCTTTCAAACTTCTGTCCCTCCTCTACGCCTGTGTTTGTAGGGTTTTTTATGACATACCTTCCAAAACAGTCTAATTTCTAGAAGATCAGACCGTTTTCTTACCCAGTAACCTCTTACATGTGCTTGAATGTATTTTGCAGCTGTATTCTTCGACATCAATAGAGATTTTGGATAATAGGGTCTAGGGCTAAAAAAATTAGGAACATTACAAAAAAAATGCTTGTCGAAATAATTCCCGCCCTGGGCGATCTAGTACAGAGCGTGAGGAAAAGCGTAACTATTTCTTAGTGATACAAAATGACTGTTGCATTTCAACAATAATGACTTACTGTTCTTTTAAATAATCTTTTACCCAGGGCATATCAAAAATATATGTCCACGACTTATTTCGTTCTGGATATTTTGGATTACAGTTGTAGCAATATTCGCTTATATAATCCAAACCGTTAAAACTAGATTTTTGTTTCTAAAACAAAGAAAAATTTTACATGTTGAAAAGGTATAAGAAACTCAATTTTCATCAACAAGAAGACGCAGAGAGCAGAGCCTGCTCTGAACCGTAACTTTTTACATCAACCTATACCACGTGACCTATACCTTTGAGCATTGTTGTCAGTTGAATTTAAAGCTCCCCAGATTTGACTACTATAGTGTAACAATTTTTTTCTTACTCAAATTTAAAACTTTGTTTTCAGGAATTCCGTCTAAGTGGATGAAATTTATGTAGACTATAATTAATACATACGTAAAAACCATCTTCACAATGTATTCTATAAAGAATTTCGTTAAGAACAGGTTTTATCATATCAAAGAGTATCTTTTCTAGAGGTGCTAATGTAGGACCTAAAAAAATCAAAAAATCTGGAATATGTTAATTTTTTCGAAGTATATTGTTGAATTTCCATTGCACATATAGTAAATTTACCTACTTATATAGTACATATTGTACGAAAATATTAAGACAACACGAGTCCTTAATAATTCAAATAATATAGAACATACTTGTTTCAACTTTAATCATTTTGGATTGTCTGTATTCTTCTATAAGAGCCTTATTTTTATCATAATCTTTCATTATTTCTGCTGTTATTTCCGAGTCGATTACGGATTCATATTCGGGTTTTGAATCTCGAATTGTAGGTTGTTTTATTTCATCAGACCCCTCACGGGATAACATTTTTGAAAACTAAATTCCTGGATTTGACGGCTTGTAAACCAAGATAGAGTTTGGAAAATGTCAGCAATGTGAAGTAGGTATGTCAAAATGTATCGTTAAAAGGGACTTAAGTTGGTTTTATGAAGACTAGGTTGGTCTATCTTAAAAGGGATCTAACATTGATGGAAGTCTAACTCGATAGAATCTAAAAATTCGGATATTTTTCATTTGAAGTTGGTGTAAAGTATGTGTTTGGGTTGCTCATGGATATTGGCAACCCTGTGGGCCTGGTGATTTGACAGGATCAATGTTACAGATTGTTATATAGATTGATCGTCCATGTTTTTAAAAATAAACAAGTTTGTATGCCTTGAAGTAAAAATGTAGATAATTAATTTTTTTAATAAATTATTCAATGGGTGGAAATTGGTATTAAGGACCGATTCCACCGTTGTGTTAAACGAAGTTTAAAATGACATTTTTACATTAACAATACACCATTAATTTTTATAAAAATAAGTAAAAAGTAATAACATATATTTTTCAGATTACAAATAAATCAAATAGTTGAAAAGGATATTAAAAAAACTACAAATTAAGAAGAGCTTCCAACTGTTTTTTAGTATCTAATGGTCCAGTGACTTTATGTCCAATAACTCTTTTATCATTAAAAATTTCATAATCATTACCACCCTTATCAGTCTTATCTCCAAAGAAATGGATTTCATTGAAACCTTCACTTTCTAAAAGCTTCAAACAGTAAGTTTTGTCCCAACCATATGGAAAAGCATCAAAACTGATCTGTCCACCAATGCTGTATGTTAAATCAAGATCAGGAAATTGCTTTCTGAGGTTTTCGATCATAGTTTTCCTTACTTCATGTTTCTGATCATATATTTCGAATTCATCTCTTTCTTGCTGTGAACAAGATCTTCCAATTGGGGATATGTTTAACATACCTGTTCTGAACTCCACAAATGTGCCCCTCTTTACAGGTAATTTCACAGTAGATAGATATGCTAACACGAAATTAATGAAACTTTGTAGGTTGTCTTCACCCATGTGCCTCTGGATATTTTGCCTACCAACTTCTTTACCATTTTTGAATTGTAATAATCCATTTTCTGGAAATACGTAGTCAAATTTGTTTATTACATCATCTCCCTTCATCTGTTCTGCAATTTTTTTGAAGTCAGAGCCACCTACCAACCCTATGGCACATTCTAATTTTACTTTGTCTATTAAAAATGAATATATCTCTTCGTCTATATTATTTCTTGGCTTTGTTAGAGTTCCATCTACATCGAAAAGGCAAAGAAGTTTCTTTTTAGACATATTTTTAACAGTTTCAAACAATGTATTTATAATAAAATATTCGGCTGTGATTGATGTGACTAATGTTGACACGTGTTATCAACCAGTATAAATACCGAGAATATGAAATGATAAACTAAACAAACATGATACATTAGGAAATTGTTATTGGTAGAATTTTAAATTAATTGAAAAAACTGGATCAGCCAATCCAAAAGAAAGACGTCAGTAAAATATTTGGATTGGATTTATTTTGACGATTTTGATAGAGCGGTGTTGCCAATTAAAAAAAGTACTAGATTCAAAATGTACCGGATTTAAAAAATGTACTAAAACTAATAACTATTCTATTTATTCATAAACATATAAATCAACTGCATGTACTAGGACCGATTCCACCGTCGTGTTAAACGGAGATTAAAATCTCATTGTTAATGTAAAAATGTCATTTTAAACTTCGTTTAACACAACGGTGCAATTGGTCCTTAGATAAAGAGAAAAATTGGCCCAGGTAAAATGGGCTTTTTATCATCTGTTTAACATATGGATGAGCAATCTATAACTATATATATCATTGAAAAAAAAACATCTGTGACGTATGACGTAAGTATATAGTGACATTAATGACAATTAAACGTCATCAAATAAAAACAAATTCAGCTGTTATACCTAAAATTAAAATTTAAAACTTATTATTTTGATAAATAATTTTATAAATAATCATAATATTAATTTACATATTAAACACATTATTTTTTTGAAATGGACACTTCTGATAGTGAGTGTTTCGAAAGTGCAGACGAAGAATTGTATTCTGAAGATGAATCAAAAAAATGCGTAGAAACAAAACATGTTTTAAAAGTTACAGAAGATTTAATTAAATTAAACGTAATGGATAGGAATAAAAAGCTAAATGAAGATAAAAGTAATAAAAATTTAGATGCAACTTTACTTGTTAATGATAATTTGATAAATCAAAACATGCATGAATCTGTTGAAATTGAAGATTCGAATAAAGATAATGAGATGAAAGTTAAAGAAATTATACAGAAGAGTGCAGAAATCATTGAAGATCTAGTGGAACCTAAAGATATTTCGTCAAAAAGTATTGACACTGATGAGGTAAATATAGAAAAAGAATCATCATCAGAAGAAAACCAGAGTGAATTATCTCAGTTAAAACAAACTAACAGCCTTGCAAATAATCCTGTGGTAAGTCATTCAGAAAAATGTATTAAAACAAATATATTAAGTGCTACAAATTCAGAAGATGAAAACATGTGGGATAATAATGATTGGGAACCTATTGTAGATAAAAAAGAGTCTGTTTGTAGTGTTAAAAATAATATTAAACCTACAGAATCTACAAGTAATGATAATACATGGGAGAATGATTGGGAACCAATTCAAGATAGCAAAGATGACACAAATAAAGGAAGCACAAATATTGATACTGATAATGAAAATATGTGGGATAATGATGATTGGGAACCTTTTGAAAAAATTGAAAATTTCAAATCATATCCAAAAGAAAATAAACCAGAAAATTCATGGTCAGGTTGGGGCAATTGGGGCGTTTCATCTATACTCACCACAGCAACACAAGGTGTCTCAACATTAACAAATCAAGTGTCCCAAAGTTTGTCCACTGTTCTAGAAAGTGGTATAGGTATTCCTGATCCAAAAGAACTTGCAAGACAAGATAAAATTGTTGAAAAATTAGATGATCCACCAGAATGTGATAATAACAAACAGAATATTGGCTTTGGTTTCAGCAATCTATCAAATTTAGTATCAGGTGTATCACATTTTGTTGAAACTACAGGCAGCAAGGTAATAACAGGTGGACTAGATACTCTAGAAACAATTGGCAAAAAAACAATGGAGGTGCTGCAAGAAGGTGATCCGGGGTTAAAAAATAAAAGAGCCCTCCTGAAAATCGATACTGACAAACCAATTCTTTCACAAGTTTTGAGGGAAGCCAAAGAGAGGTCAGAAAAGGAGAATAAAGCATTGCTGGAAGTACATGCTAAGAAAAAATTAAACTATGAAATTCTATTCGATGATTACCATGGCTTGGTGCATTTGGAAGCACTGGAAATGTTATCAAAACAATGTGATATCAAATTACAGGTAAGTTGGGTAAATGAAGGGAGAGGTAGAAGGGTGCAAAAGTTGGGAGAGGCAAATTTATGCTTAAAATATTCCACATTTTCGATTCCTACCCAGAAACAAAACATTTTTTTGGTGGAAATCATTCACTACTGCCAATAAAGGAGCAGCAAATGTTCTTATGTCCAAGGCCAAAAAGTTCAATATATTTTTGAAAAAAGAAATGAAAATGGTTTGGGATTTGGCTAGGGCAGTTCAGGTTTAAATATTGAGACCTAATTTGTTATACTTATGTATTTCCCACAAATATAAAAATAGAATTAAAAAAATCCAACTCTGTCTATCCCTTAGCTAATATGGAGGGAGTGTCGTCACCCTCAAAAAATGAATTACAATTTTTTCAATAAATTTTTTTGGTAATGGGGTTTATATTTTTACACAAGTACATTGTAAACCAGGTGTATTATAAATATGCCAAAAATTAGTCGTGTATCTCCTCTATAACTATTTTTAAATGCCAGTCTCAATTATGATGGTTTAGGTCCAAAATTTCCATGAAGAAATATTGGGTATGTATATAGAATCATAGGTTACAACTGTTTTATTGAAAAAACTGTGTAACTTTATTATTTGAAGGTAGAACCTTCCATATTAGCTATGGTGTTGGGGGGGGGGGGTTTCTTATATGATTTTCATATTTTATGTGAAAATATATCAATATATGAAGTTTAGTCTAAGATCTAAACCCAAATCCATCTGAAAATGGTAAAGAAATGTCAATTGCATCCTTAGTACCATAGAGAACATACCTGGAGTTCTACAAGGTTCTTCTTTAGGGACACTTGTTAATTAATTTACTTATTAACAACTTTGAAGTGGAATTCATTATTGGATTTTTCTGTAATAACCACATTCGTCTAGGTTAATTATTATTGCAGACACTGAGGGACAACTGCTCAGGCAATGAACTCCAAGAACTTCTGGAAACCATGGACCAAGTCAAAGAACTGTGCGAACTGCCAGATGAAGAAGATGACGAAGTTTCTACATTCCATGACATAAAAGAGAAAATCCAAATGGCAGTCAAAGATATAAACGTCAGCATAACTTACGAAAAACTGATATCCACCTGGCAGGAGACCGAAAATTGGTTGAACAATCTAAAATTGGATTTCTGCGACGAGTCTGAGATCCATCAAGAGGCTTTGCAGGTGCTGGCGCGACTCACCGCCATCGCTGTAGAGCAGTTTCATAGATGTGGGGAGCTTTTGTTAGTCAAAGAGCACAGGAGTACCGCGGATGAAGCAGACAGTTTAGTACAGTAAGAAAACTTCGTTTTTGTTGTATCTTCCAATGACAAATTCGTTTTTATTTTTAGGTTAACAATGGCGGTGACTTCGCTTATCGGTTTGGTAGCTGCTAAATTTTCAGAAAAATTAAATGCAAAATCGTTTGAATCTGGAAATAAGGGTCCAATTAACGAATTAATTACTAATGTGTTTTTTGAGGTAAAGTATGTTTATTTATTTGGAAAATTAAATACCTATTTGTGACAAAAAATTAATGTTTTCTTTTTATTTTAGGCAGGGAATAGTAGTTCATATGTGCAAGATGCTTTCCAGTTGTTGGTACCAGTGCTGCAAGTTGGTGCTGTGTAATACCTACCTATTTTTTATAATTATTAATTATTTCTAGATAAAATTGGTACTTTATGAGAAATCCTCTTAAAATCTTTTATGTTATATTTTCAAATGTTTATTTATGTTTTGAATAATAAATAAGAAGTAACACATCTATTGTAATATACAGTTTTTTAAAACAGTAAAAAATCGTTTCATTTAATAACTAATAACCCTTATCATCTGACCTGTATGTAGGTATATACTCAAGGGTATGGTCTGTGATATACTCATTGGTATAAATGATAGATCGACTAGAGCAGCATCCATGTTTTTAAAATAAACAGAAGATTATGCCTTGAAGTAAAAATGTGGGTAATTATATTTTTTACTGTATTAAAATGCTGAAAATTGGTTTTAAAAACACATTTTTGGTATACCAATTCTAATTATTGAGCCTTGCGAGGCAGTATGGCTACAAGCAAAACGACCCGCTTTAAGCAATCTATATAATTATATATGTATGACTCTGTCAAAGACCACAGGGTTGCCATATCATAACCTGTCATTACCCACGGCAAAGAGTATATATGCCCATGGGCAGCATTTTGACAGGTCAAGTATCCTTGGTTGGAATGCCTAATAATCTACTGCGACTGCGCAGAATCCTCGTGTTTGTGACTTTTCTGATCCTTGTTGTATTACATAACTGCCAGATCTACCGTTTTTACGGTAGATCTACCATTTTCACACTCTAATTGAAAACTGATATAGGTATGTACTTTATGCCGCGTTTGAGAATCCACATCGTATGCATTTTTTACATCTCGAGCGTTTTTTTATCCACATCGGACACATCTGTCCCATTACATTTACGTATACTGAATCACGTGATCAAAGATTTATTACATCTAAGCAATGAACTGGAGTGGGGTAGAATGCTTGTCAATAGGCTTGAGATGCGACTCTATGGGCGAAGACAGGTTATTTTTCATCTCACTCGGGAGTATTTATAACGACCATTTTCTATTTCACTTTGTTATTGTCTGATCCACCAGCCTGTGGATTGAACAATAACAATGTGAAACAGAAAATGGTTATTATAAATACTCCCGAGTGAGATGAGAAATAAAAATGGCTGCGCCCATAGAGTCGCATCTTGTTCAATTGATAAAATATGCACATTAACTTTCTACCCCACTCCAGTTCATTGCATCTCAGATGCATCCGATGTGGATTCTCAAACGCGGCATAATACTAATAATAAAAATGAACTAAAAAAGAAATTAAAAAACAAATGAACGATGGATAAAACTATAAATGATGATTTTGTATGTCATATCTGTGCAGACTGCACACATTGACAAATATTAAACAGCTAAATATATAATAATTGCCGCGTTTGAATATCCATATCGGATGTGATCACGTGATTCAGTATACGTAAATGTAATGGGACAGATGGGTCCGATGTGGATAAACAAACGCTCAAGATGTAAAAAATGCATCGGGTGTGGATTTTCAAACGCGGCAAATATACTGAAATAAAATCTTGCTAGGCAGTGTCAGGGGCGCATATACAGGAGGAGTAATGCCCTTCAAGGGTTTATAAACCTAAGTTTTTATAGGAACTTATTATTATTATTAAAAAAATCTTAAAATATTACCATTACCCCCCAGACTTAAACTCTGGATGCGCCAGTGGGCAGTGTGGACCATTCTGATGTGCGCGAAAACAAAATATGTCGGCTGCCGTTTTTAATCCTGTTTTTCTAAATACATACCGTTTTCTATACGGCGAATCTACCGCCTTCGCTATTTTAAATCTGGCAGAACATACCTCATGCATCATATATCAATCATCAGAAACTACCCAGACAGCACACCAAATCCTTTGGATATCTACTGCACATCCCAATATCCACTTAATGTCCAGTCCATGGTGGATATCTATTTTATATCCATGATATGTAATTTATAGACATGCAAATGTCCATAAATAATAGTAATTATATAACAAATTATTAAAAAATTACGCCATTGTGGCTAATAGTACCGTTCAGATATTTAAAATTAATTTTTTTAAGGTGTATTCAATATCCCAAGGACATCCACTAAATATATCCAATCTATTGCTGCGTTTGAGAATCCACATCGGATGCATCTGAGATGTAAAAAATCTTTGATCACGTGATTCAGTATACGTAAATGTAATGGGACAGATGTGTCCGATGTGAATAAAAAAACGCTCGAGATGTAAAAAATGCATCTGATGTGGATTCTCAAACGCAGCATAGAAATATATCAAAGTCTAAGCGCGGACGCAAACCATCGTGGATATCCACTAGATGTTATTTGATTTTGCTTCCTAAGTATAGATGTCGATACCACTTTCGTATCTACTCATGCTCAACCCGCCGTAATTGAGTTCGATCGAAATTTTTTTGTCATTTAGACTCCATTAGAGACTGAAGTCGAGAATTTCCATTTATTGTTGAAGAGTCTTAATAAGGATGACTTTGTTCTTAGTGGGCAAAATCAAAGGCAGATTGTTGGAATTTGAAATATTTTTATCTCTATTTTTCATCTCTATTTTCTTTCGACGTTATTCAATAGTTATCATTGGTTACTTATGAACCTCTACTAAAGATACCTATAAAATATTTATCTGAATTCTATATCCTGGGATATGACGGCATAGACGGACATTTGGTTGGATTTCTTGTATTGTTTGGAAGATACTCATTAGATATTTTGCTGAATATCCATAGGATATCTTCTATATTCTGGATATAGACGGACATTTGGATATCCATATTAGATCCACGGAATATTTCTGATATCCTGTGGATATATTGGATATCCACAAAAGGTATTCTGTTGATATCTCTGCGATTTGGTGTGTTGTCTGGGTAGTGAATCTGAAAATTGTAATGACTATATAAAATAGAATAAATTTCTTACATTGTATTTGTTAACTATTAGAGATAAGCAAAAGTACCTTAATTTTGTTTAAGTGTTCCATTTGTGTTAAAAGTTTTAAAAATCGAAAATAAAGTTTTTCAATTTTTATAAATTTACTTGTTTACTGACTAAGGTAGGTACCTAGTGGTTGTATCGTGGTACCTAGGTATATGTTGATTAGCGCAGAAAACCTCATCAGCATCAAATGCATTGTCATTATAACCAGTCACACACAATGTCAATATACCATATTTTTACCATGTGAAAAAAATATAGAATGTTATTTAAAATAATGTACAGTAAGGGAGCCCCAAGACGAATTTTCGGGGGGGCCATTGCCTGTAGATATTCCCTTTTTTGTATATTTTTTTGAATAAAAGGTTCATATAAATCGTAAGAATTTTCTTCTCGTCCCCCACCCCCCCTGGTTGCTCTGGTACAGTAATATGGCAAAAAATACAATAATTTTGGATCGCCGATACGGCAATCTGCGTGAGAAGGGTTGGCAACACTGGTATCTACTACTATCATCATATGAATCATGAATCGATACTACTGATAAGTATGTGGATCTGCAGGGATAATCATTTCACACGCGAAATGCTTCTTAACTACGTAGTAGCAGATATGTTGCACCCAAGTTTCTAGATGATGTTTGGTATAACTGTGAATTCCTATAACTTAGTACGATATAATAGTCGCATTCCTTACTCGAGGCTACGACCCCTCCATTGGTGGAATGTCTTTACGTCAAGATAACTGCGGCTTTGCCAGCTCATCGGTTTAGCACGAAAAAATCGGATTTCTGGCAAGTTGAGTAACCTTTTGCGAGACTTTTAATAGATATAATTGATGTAAATTTTAAGGTAATATTCTGTCGTCCTAAGCCAAAAAAACGGTATCTCAGTTGCTTTAGCGTTTTTTAGAGTCAAAAAAATAATACAGGTACCACTGGATTGCTTTTTATCACTTTTTTGTCCTCTTCTTATTACCTCTTTTGTTAAAAAAACGGTGTACCAGTTGAAGTGAATTTAGAGAAAAACGCATTTTTTAAAGTTATTTTCACGTTTCTTCTAGTCGAAAAAAATAATGAAACTATTCATCGCTTCAAAATATTTCTTGTTTTTGAATATTATTTTTGATGTTCTTATGGCGTATAAGGATATATAATATGCGGCCATTTAGCTTAGTAATAGTTGTATATAACCCTAAACCCTTATATTTAGTACATACAAGTGAAGTTGAGACATGTAGTTTTTTCTGATTTTTTTTTTTAGTTTCCTGAATGAGAGATACCTTTTATCTTTTTTTTTCATCCCTTTAGTTGCTTTTTATCCTTTTTTATAGCATTTATATCCTTTTTTTGACTTATTTTTCTAAGTTCCTCTGATGTGGAATTCTACAAGTTATCCTATGCTTTGAAAAACCAAATAAAAATGGTTTTTTGAGATACCGCTTTTTGACTTTGGAGTACCATATCAAGTGATATCTACGTACAATTGCCGCGTTTGAGAATCCACATCGGATGCATCTGAGATGTAGTAAATCTTTGATCACGTGATTCAGTATACGTAAATGTAATGGAACAGATGTGTCCGAAGTGGATAAAAAAACGCTCGAGATGTAAAAAATTAATCCGATGTGGATTCTCAAACGCGGCATGCGTATACTGAATCACGTGATCAAAGATTTACTACATCTCAGATACATCCGATGTGGATTCTCAAACGCGGCATATATCGAAATGCAGAAGATGAATCGGCAACGGCGCAAAGTTGATAATGTGGTATTCAACATGGCCGCGTAGTCAGTGTTGTGTGTGCTAGTTACAGTGGATTGAATGGATTTATTCGTGAATTATGCCGAGAAAACGAAATGGTGAGATCCCTTTGCCCGACGGTTGGGATTTCGGACGGGATTACGACGGGAAAATTTACTTCATCGATCACATTTCCAAGAAAACTACGTGGATTGACCCCAGAGACAGGTAGGAATACTCACATTCCTTCGTACTATCTCTTTGCTTGTAAAAAGTTGAATGACATTTTTAAAATTTCATTTTTATCGAGGTAAAGATGTTTTTCCTCCAGGATATCCCGGGAATTATTCGACAGACACTTGCATTGGGTTCAATAAATAATGACACAAATATGTATTCTAATTAACATTCCAAATGCCTAACTTGCCCAAGTAATTGTTAAAAGTTTACTCAAATATTTATGCATATTTCTCCTATCTTAAATCAAAACAATATAAACTTAACTCTACAATGTTAAATAAATCTTTAAATAATTCTAAATCCTAAATTTAAAGGCCTATCCATTAAAATAAATTATCTGTTTAGATATTTAATATTCAAAAACATGAGAGATTGTGCTGCCACCTTGCAGAAAAAATGCGCAAACGAAAAGATAAATATTAGATTTGTTGTGTCTAAAAATATTTACAATCTTTCCGTGAATACGTTTTGCGTCACCAGATGAAATGCAAATTAAAAAAACTTGTGAAATTTCCAGAGTTCAGCGTTTTTACAAAATAGAGGGGTTTCGGAATATAGATAAGGATGCAAAAAATGTGAATAAAATATGGATGAAATGTGTGTGGATGATTAAAACGTATGGAATGTGACATAAATTGTTTGGAGTATTTAGAAGGTTGATCAGAAAGTGTTCTAATTCCAATTAGAAATAAACATGCTAATCCTAATATTAATAAAATTACCTACTTGTGTAAAAATATTTGGGATCTTTACCCCTTAAGGCTGCCCATGTAAAAATATATGAGCCATTTGCCCCTTAAGTTTGTCTATAAAAAAAATGAGCTGTTTTCGATTACGGAAAAACTAATCATAGGTACTTGTAAGTATTGCTATTGAAAACAAAAAAACCTAAGTTCCATATCTTGTGCAAATGAATAATAAGGACAAATAGGTAATATTTTTAAATAAAAATATGAATTTTTTCCGTTAATTTGATCAATTTTACGGGAAAAAGAGTGAATAGAGGTGCTGGGTGGGACAAAAACGATATCAATAGTTAGTTATAATATTATAAAATACTGTTAGGGCAAGAAAAATTATTAGAAATGAATTGCTGTACTTTTGATATTAAATAATTGCATGGTAAATTTTTGTGCTACTTGGCAACAGTGTAAGTAGCATCTCTGGGTATCTATTCTTGAATATTAGGGAGTAGAAAATTTGAGGGAAGAATGAGAAAAAAATACAAATTTTGTTCCTTGCAGATAAAGAGGAAAAACCGGTTTTCTACTCCCTCGAATTCAAGAATAGCTACCCTGAGCTTTATTTGAGACAATTTGTGAAATATTTTTATTTAAAAAATTCTGTCGATAATTTGCACAAGATGTGGAACTAAGATTTTTTTTACAATAGTGATATACCTACTACAAGTACGTGTGCGTAGTTTTTTCATAAGCTAAAAGAGCTCAAACTAGACAGTGACCAAAATGTTTGGGTCCCTTTACTCCTTAAGCCTGCACATATAAAAATATTTCATTCCTCTATCTCTTGATATTTAAAATACTAAAGTTAATTCTAAAATTCTGAAAATTAATATAGTTCTCAAAAGAAATTATCAAAGAAAATAAAACTTCAAGAGTTATAGTGTCAAGGCCAAGGGCGGCTCCTAGACGAATTTTTTTTTTTTTGGGGGGGGGGAGGGGGCATTGCCTTTAGATATTTCCTTTTTAGCTTTTATCTCATAAATCGTAAGAATTTTCATCTCGGAGGGGGGCCACGGCCCCCTTAGCCCCCCCCCCCCCTGGAACCCCCCTTGGTCAGGGCACATACAGTTATAGTCCTAAACGATATTTCAGGCCTAAAGTGGTATTTGACGTGGAGAAAAGTGTTAAAAAATGGGTAGAAATTTTTTTTTTAGTGAAAAATATATTTTAAATTTATTTATTCATAATAAAAAGAAAACTATATTGTATTGTTTTTATAAACTACTTCAAGTAGTATCGAGTTAATGAATACAATTTTGTGGGTTTTTCTTCTTTCTTTCAGATAATTCTAGGGGTCATAGTTAGGGTGGTTTCCAATGCACTTTTAAGGTTGAATCTTTTTGTAATCTAATCAACATATTGTATAATGATTTATTCAATAACACCTAGCGGGGGTGTTTTCATCTGAACAGTAGTAGGAAAATGCGTAATTAAAAGGGTTCTTTTAGAATACTATGACCATTTTGGGGGTTGCAAGACGAGTTTTGTTCATAAGTTCTGTACAGTCTGTTCGCTATACTTACTGGGGGTTTCGGATTAAAAATTTTCAGGTAAGTACCCAAAAGTTTGACCTATTCTCTGGGGAAATATCAACTGGTTAAATGAAATGAAAAATAATGTACAACTTTTTAATTAAATAATAATGGAGAATCTTTTGTATAATTAAGAGCAGAATTAAACTTCTTTATTAATGGAGTCTAATGTGGCTATTATAAACCTAATAATAATTTTATATTACACTTCACACACAAATTTAGTACCTACCCTAATGTTATTTTAATTTAAATCTGACCATTAGGGCAATTTTACCTAATTTCTTGGGAAGAGGCTTGTCGGAACTGGTTGTCAATGACTAATTTGCATAATTTTGTTAATCCGAAACCCGCGTAAGTATAGCGAACAGACTGTACTTAAAGTACGTTATAAAAACAATACAATATAGTTTTCTTTTTATTATCAATAAATCATTTTAAGACATTTTTCACTCATTTATGATAACAGTCTTAAATTGAAATAATTTCATTCATTTGAATATTCCAAGTACTTCATATTTAGAAAACAAAACTGTTGGATTTTGTAACTTTTTGGATTAAATGTAAAATTTGTTTATGTGAAGGTGTAACTCATACAAATTTATTGAATCTTTTAAATTATTTCTATTTTTAACTTCTCTATTTTTTTGTAGCTGTAACTAAGTTAAAAATAAAAAAAAAACTTCAAAATAGTAGTTTGTGTAACAAGAGTGAATACGGACAATCCACTCAAGTTATAGAGTATATTTTTTCTACTACCCACTAACGAAAATCTATAAAATTTAAAAAATTAATTTAAGATTTTTTTTAATACTGATAATTAGATTGATTTTATATAGTTTTATTAAAATATATTGTGGAATGCTGTTATTTATGGATTCTTTCTACCTAGCCTATGTAGGCTTTGTTATTGTTTCCAGCGCCACTTTAGGAACAGCAACGTTTATTAGAACCCAAAAAGCTTCTCTTAAATTTTTTGTTTTACCAGATCACGTAGAATACATGTATTGACGATTTGTTACTATTAGGAATACCTTGATAGAAAAAAAATTAAAAATCTAAGGTATCTATAAAAAATTCAGTATGTCTCTGGTATCGTAGGAAAACTGTCACCACTGTGACATGCTATATACAGATATACGCTTGCTTACAATAATAACTTATAACATTATTTTATAAAATATGCGTATCGCATATATGCCGTAAACTTATGCACGTCGGGCGTTGACCAGAAATAGATTTTTGGCATGACGCTATGATTCCAAGACGCCAAACTGTCTATTGTGAATATTCTATTTTGTCTGCATGATTAAGAAATCATTCCCCAGAGTTTATTCTTGGATATCTGAATATAAAAATGTAACTGCGGTATTTTTTTTTTCTTGGAAAAGTCACTTTTTTACGGAAGCTCAAATTTTAATTTTTTTTCTTTAACGTCCTAGAATTAAAAAAGCAAGTATGTATGTTGTTGTTTGTTTATTATTTGAAGTTAAATCATTTCAGTATTTGGGCATCATCTACTCATGTACTCGTGAGGATTTTTAGTCTGCAAAAAGAAAACTATTAGTAAACTTTAATGGTTCGTTGTTGGTGGTGTAGAATAAATATGTATGTACTAAGTGAACAAAGAATTATAAACCCTTCCAAAGGAACTAGATACCAGGTATTGCATTTTAAAAAGAAAACCTTTTCGAGATACTAATTTTCAGTTATACATTACAAAAAAATAGTTGGTTACTAAAAAATCCTTTTGATAATTCCGATTATACCTCGAAACGATACCTATACTGGCGAGCGAAGCGTTTTGAGTTAAAAACAGGAAAGAAAAAAGAAAGAAAAGAATCTAGATACCTATTATGTATGTGTTGTGGTGTGTATGCTAGAAAATGGTAATCGACCAACATTCATCGACCTCGCCTTTGGAATTTTGCCGCCGCGTTTGTTATAGTAGGAGGTCGGCTTCTATCGAGGAATGTTAATTATCTCAAAAATTACAACGCTACTATCATCCGACTATCATAAATACGTATACTTTCTCTTGATAAAGTTAAAACATAACTAGTTAGTAGGTATGCTTCATTTTAGACATTGCAGTTTTTACAGTTTCAACAAAAACATTTAATTTCTACGTTAATTCAGTTTTTCATATAAGTCAAAAGAAATTGTGTCACTTTTCCATAGATTTTGCATTTAAATTCAGGACAAAAAAAGGCCTATTAGTAATTTAAATCGTCAGGATTTTACCAGCCAATAGATTATCAAAAAATAAAGGTAGTTATTCCTATAAAACATAATCCAATTTTCTTTCCTTTTTGATGTACAGGATGTTAAAGGTTTTTTTTAAAGAAAGTTTTTTGTTAATATCTAAAAATAGGTTTTGACCGATTTTTATGAAATTTTCGGAGTTTTACAAGACTTTCTGACTTTTTACAGTTGATCCAATAATTACTACAGCAGACTATGTGAATTTTTAATTAAATTACAAGGTTTCGTTGTAGGATTCGATGAGTGTCGTATTAGCAGAAATTTAATTTCTGTTGATATGGCATCCTGATTATAAATCGCCATGCGTTACGGTTTCGATGATGGTGGGTGAGGTTTTCCGGGTTTTCCTCACCTCTAAGTCATTATTTTTAAGTTGTCCCAAAGCGCCACGGCAAATAATAATAGCCGTTCGTTCCCCACACAAGCTCAGTCGGCTTCAGGGGTTGAAATTCACTTGTAAGGGAGTGAATTAGGAAGAGTATTAATATTATATTATTATTAATTCCAGAGTAAATTTTTTAACTGGTTCATAATTTTTTTAAATATTCTAAATAAAAATACATCTTTTTTGTCTCTGAAATTTTGCACGTCTTTGTACATCAAAAAGAAAGCAAAATTGGACAAAGTAGCAGCCAGTGAGAAGGGCTTGTATATCTAAGGGGGTTACGACATAGTCTTCCATCTTAGACGCTATTTATATTCGAAATAGTAGCCTGCCAATTTATGAAATATGTATATAAGCGGTTTTTTTAACATATTTTATTGTGTTTGGCATAAAATATTTAAATCTAATCAATTTTTCATCATTTCACGTGTTGTAGAACGTATGTTGCAACCCCTTAGAAAACGAGAAATTTTCGATTGTTTACAATAAACAATAATAAAAGCGATGATGGTTATATTCAACCGATTGGAATGTCTGAACTCTTGAACGTGCTTAATCATTGATTTTTTGAGTTGTCTAATACTTTTATACCTACCTACATATTGTTTGAACGATAGAAGATATATTATTCAAGTCTCTGACTAATACCAGTCATTTTGTAAACAAACTGAAATATATAGGTATTATATATCTAATCGCGTGATCTGATCTAAGGTATTGGAATTACATTTCCATTTTAGAACACAAACTGCACATCACAGGTTATTTAAAGTAATATTTACCCTAGATTGTTTGTGTGTATATACACACTTATGTCTGTTATGGAAGATTAGGTAGGTATTTTAAAAAGCTACTATTTTAGAATTTTTATAAGTATGAAGATGCGTCAGAAAATAACATACAATCGATTTTTTGTAATTGATTTCTTCCATAATTCGCTTCATCTTTAACCAAACCTATATAACCTTTTAATGTTATTCACGAGGAATGCTTCCTTCGTCTAAATGTACCACAAGATTCCCATCTTGGCCCGCAACATACTGTGTCCCCTCATGGAGCTGTATAGAAATTTAGCAAATTCAGTACTCTGCATTACACCCAGAAACAACACAATATGAATTTGGAAGTAGGCGTAGAAGCTTATATAATAAATATTATGTTAAGAATCCTTGATAATTATAATTTGAATACCTTCCTCAAAAAGGAATTATCCAAAACAAAATAAAAATTTTATGGTAACTAAATGGAAAATTCAACCAGTTGCAAAAACAACATGGACATGAAAAACAACACAAACAATATTGACAAACAACACTCTATAAATAATGGATGTTGCCGTAAACAAAAAGTTCCTTGTCCTAGAAAGTAGCAATGTTTTAACAATTGACAGTAATTATTTTGTGACGTTTAAAATACGTTAATATTGCTTCTTATGGAAGTGGTCCCATTCTTCCCTTTAGTCTACTATTTTTGGCATGAACTTTGACAGTGCCAGGTGTCAGTATTACTATATAGAGTGAACTATATTAGCGTTCCATGACAACCCTGTATTTAAAAACAAATTACATACCATTAGTTTTTGATATTTCTCTTAAAGGAATTTTAAGGTAAATCTTTTTTTAATATTAATAAAGATTTAATATTTCTAATTTTAATTTCTATTAGATATTTTATTTTTCACTTATGCGGCACGTTTCACCTTAATAGCTACCACAACTATTATTTTAATTGCTTTCCACTTTTTTTACTTAATTATAATTAATTGAATAAAGCCATAAACCGATGCATTTAATTATTGGCTGCAAAGCATCCTGGAAGTTAATGTTATGTCTTTTTAATTTATAAGTAAAAAAAATATTACGTACCCCGCATAAAACAAGATGATTATAACTTCTTATGCATTTTATTTATTATTATTACGACCATTATATACTTATTTAGCGGGATAGACCTTTTCATCATAATTTTTTTTTGTGCGCATGCGATAGTATCAGCCATCTTTTTCGTACTGTTTTTGTTTACAAGCATGTTAAAATGACCACGTGAAAAAAATTATAATCGATAAATATTAATTTAAGTATATTCATTTAAAAAAAAAAGGAAGAAAAAGCAAAGTAATAATAATTTTAGTGTCTTAATTGAAAAATATATTTTTGCAATCAATTATAATTATGTACGGAAAGGAACAACGAAACGGTGTTGTTATGGAATATGTAAAATTGACACACGGTATAAATCATTCAAAGGCAATACATACAATACATATTAAAAATATTCCTAAGCCTTGGCTGCAATATCGTAAAAAATTATCAATTTATCAAGCAAATGTGCATTAGATGCGAAAAAATGTGGTCGAAGACCGAAGTGACAACGGTTTTAGATGGATTGATGATGTTACTATACTTATATTTGTTAATTACATTTTCATGGAGAGAGTGGTCCAACAGAAGAAAATTATTATCTGGTATTAAACAATATTTTTTTAATATTAAATTTTACTTCGGTATACACAGTAATATGATTAAAAATGTCATGTTTATCCTCAAAATATTAAATACCTAATATATTTTATTAATTATACTCGTGATTAACTTTCATGTTAATTGAAGTGTTTTTGCAAGTACTAATAGTTGGTTGGCATAATTAATTAGAGTAGAGTTATAATTATTATTTGTTTTCATTAATTTTGTACACAGTTAAGAAGTATTGATACACCTAACCTCTCAATCAGTCCACTTTTTTCGTTTGTATCAAACGTCTAACAGCCGTATGCATAGTCGATCGCCAGCGACTCGCCAGAGATTCATTTCGGCGTATCGCCAGAGATTCATTTCGGCGTATCGCCAGCGATTCGCTGGCGATCCGCCGGCGAAAGCCCAAAAAGCTGGCGACTCGCCGGAGATTGTCACCGGAATGTTATTTCACGCAAGTTTTCATGTTCTTTTATAGGGAAAAATTTGATATTCGTTCATTATTTTTTGAGTTTTAAGAAATAAATCATGAATAAAATGCGAGAGATACCGGTGATAATCCCTATAAAAGAAAATAAAAACTTGCGTGAAATGACATTCCGGTGACGATCTCCGGCGAGACGCCACCTTTTTGGGCTTTCGCCGGCGGATCGCCAGCGAATCGCTGGCGAAACGCCGAAATGAATCTCTGGCGAGTCGCTGGCGATCGACTATGCATACGGCTGTAAGACACTTTTCAACCACCTTTTCAACTTCTCACAACTATGCGCTTCTACAGAGTTATGAAAAAGTTAATCACCATCAATGATTTTTTCTAATGATTAATTTTTCTGTAGAGATAATATTGCTTTCCAGCCATTGTCGATCAAAACAGTACGAAATTTTTGAATTACCGCTATTTCAACATGGTGGCTGCGCTTACGCTCATCACATGATGAAAAGGTCTATTAAAAGCTATTACGTATTGTAAAGTGCGACACTTCATTTGAAAGCTAACTTTATAAATAATATTATTTTTAGTAATATATTAAATTGAAATTTTATTTGAACTTAATTTAAATTGTTAATAGAATGGGTTCCAAATTATATGATGCATATTTTAAACTGCTAACATAAAATTCTGTAAATTACACGTACTTTTTTTAATGTATGAAACACTTAATAATATTCTAATAAAAATATTTTTTTTTTTCAGATATACCAAACCACAAACGTTCGCAGACTGTATAGGAAATGAATTACCTTTAGGATGGGAGGAAGCATTCGACGGCCATATTGGCCCTTATTACATAGACCATGTAAACCGTAAGTACTTTTCTTTCAAATATTTTCTTTCAGCAGATGCGATTTCTCATTTGATCATTCACTCTTGGAGATTGTATGTAATAGTGCTGTTTCTAAAGTAGCGCAGGATACAGTAGCAATGCCTAAACTATTGATTATTAGAGTACTAGCATATAAAACACGAGGCTAATAATCGGTCTTTTTTACATTAACACATTTGAGAAAAAAAGCCTGGCATACCTGAATTTTTTTCTTGGATACTCTTTTGGGCAGAAAATAATGCACCGAAAAATTGCGACTTCTGGATTGTGCCCCCTTTGTAGCCCTTTTTCTATCAATCGGTACTACTGACATGTAATGGTACAATTTAGTATCTTGGTCCACTTTATTATATATTGGTGTCAAAAATTTTGCTTCGTAAAGCACTATACTGCAATATTTTCACACCGATATGTAGGTCCTTTATGATGCAAACCTTTTGAAAATTAATCGAATCCGGATCGTCATATTTGTATCTAAAAAACAAACAGAAAATAAACAACACGTTCCAAAAAAATACGCTAATATAAATTTTTACCTTTGCTTTTTTTGCATCTGCCGTTTTGTCTCATTTGTTTTGCGTTTTCTACTTCCTATGCTAATATCAGATACACTGGCTTCTCCTTCATCCATCATAAACAATTCCCAAAACAATATTAAAAACGAACAACAGGTTAACTGCTAAAATGCCACTGCACTTCTAGAAAAAATCAGCAGTTTCTCTGAATTTAAACAATAATATTCATACTATTATTCCCTTTATCTTTTAGTTTTTATTGACAAACGGAAATAACTATTTTGTAAAAAAGATAGCTGTAATTTTCTGGCGTCACGTTACCTTAATAATACGCATAGATGGCAGAAGTTTAAAATGTATTGTACCTGATTTTTCAACATTAACCGCTCCAATCAGGAATCTGCTCCGAAAGAATCAAAAATTCCAATGGACTGAGCAATGTAGTCTTGCTTTTCAAACTCTAAAAGAACATTTAATAAGCTCTCCAGTTTTCTCTTGTCCAGACTTTTCACTACCTTTACCGTTCAAACTGATGCCTCTGGATATGGCCTCGGTGCTGTATTAACCCAAGATCATCCTGATGGAGAAAAAGTGGTTGCATATCTTTCATGATCACTCACAAAAGCTGAGCGCAATTATACAACAACCGAACGTAAATGCTTAGCTGTAATGTGGGCAGTTGAAAAGTTAAGGCCATACCTGGAATGATCCAAATTTGTCGTCATTACAGATCATCACAGTTTGGTGTGGTTATATAAACTTCAGTCTCCTTCAGGTACCTTTGTCGCAAAGTTTAGTTTTGTGTTCAGGAACTCTGAAGGTTTTAGTTCCATTTTCATCCTCTTTCTTGTGAAAAGAAGCATTTATGTCTCTTTGGAATTGATAGACAGTGAATGGTCCTTGCACCACTTTTGTATAATTTTGAAAGCAACTCTCAATCTTTCGCAGTTTATGTTTTTAAAATTTCCTGTTTGCAGAATGACAAGGGTTATCTGCATACGATATTGTGTAGAGACTGTCATTATTAAGTTGCGGCAGTAGACGTGTATTAGTATTTATAAAGATAAAGATTACGTTTTTTTCTTTCCTTCTTTTACAGAAGCAACACAATTAGAAGACCCTAGGCAAGAATGGAGGGCGATTCAAGAAGCCATGTTAAGGGAATACCTCATAACTGCTCAAGATGTTTTAGAAGTAAGTCTTTTAATATTATTTTTTTTATTTGTCGATTTTAGGTACCAAATTTATTTAGGAGTATTGTTGAATTATAATCGATAGAGTTCGAATAAAACGATAAGTGAGGAATACTTTTTGATGGTATGTCATGAGCATATTATTCTATAACTCACGAACGGTTGAAACTCGGTTCATTTCATTGATTGCTTTCACTTTTTCGTAATCATTCTGTGTCATCAATTAATTCCATCAGTTGTTCATGTGTCAGTGTCAATGAGTGGGTCAATATCGGCAGAAAACTGCCAGTACTTTAAAAGCGAGTGCCTATTTTCAAACTTCATTTGAAATACTTATTGGATGTCACAAATGTTTTGCTTTTACTTAGATATAACTGAAAGAGCTGAGTAACAACCGCAGGGTTCTCTTTGAAATGCATTAAAAAGAATCGGAATTAATTTAATCGTTCCTGTAGAAGAGAAAAACATAGGTAACGGCATTAAATGAAATTAAACTCGTATAATAAAATATTAATGTTATCGAATTAGCGATGTATTATTGTTGACAATTTGGCAACGTGGCGAGGAGGCATGTGAGGTCAGTGTTGAGACCGTCCGGGCACGAGCCACCGCTCAGGAATGTCGAGGTTGTGATGTGAAATAAAAACGGCTTTTTTTTTCTTTTCGTCTTCTCCTTCATCTTACTTCTTCTTCTATGTATATACTTACTGTGTGTGTGTTTTTTTTTTCTTATTTTCGCCCACCGCATGACAAGTATCTGCCCGGCCTTTTACATAATTTGTTGACCATTTACCATTTTTAGTGAGCCTATTCACACTGCACGGCATTGAAAGGATACCCATTATTTTTTGGTTCACGAATACCGTATCGAATATTTAAAATTATTGGAATAGTTGTGGGAATTATGGCTCGTAAAATAGAGAATAATAGTTTTTATTATATTGGAAAGCGAATAGATAGGTACCTATCTAGAATGAAATATTTTAAAATAATTCAATTATTTTTATTTTGTAAAGTACAGGAATCATGATTTTTTCGACCTCTAGTATTCGAGAAATCTTTACGTTTTAACCGTTTTTGCGATTTTGTTTATCTATGTATTCACAATAATTCAAAAATTGATAAAGACAAAAACACTAAATTTTAAACTTAAGCTTTTCTGATTAAATTTTGAACATAGTTGGAGTATCGGGGGGGGGGGGGGGGTACTTATAGGGGTAAGAGTTGTTTTTGATGTTATTATCTATAATTTTGGTCAAAGAATTTAAAACTTTCTGAAACGTGAGGTAGTATTCGAATTTTTTTATTCATATTGACAGTTTGAATATCATTGATTATGTCAGCGATAACTCAATTGAAAGAGCGCTGTGCGTAGAAGAGGAGTAGGTGGGTGCGAATCCCCCCGCGTTCAGATTTTTTCAATTTTTCATTATTTCGTAGGGGTAATACCTATTGGGTTTTTTAGGGATTTCCTGGAAATGTATTCATATAAAATATTTTTGATTATTAAACTTGTGGTACAGTCCTGTTTAATGAGAGTCTGAAATTTAATCTCCATATTAACTAGACCACTTGTATTCTCTTTATAAATTTAGTCACAGTGGTGTATTGAGCATACCGGGTGACTATGAGACCAAGGCCACGTTAATATCTCTTTTAATTATGAAATGATTTAGATCAAATTTGAATAAAACCTACTAGACCTAGTTTCGAATTGGCACTTATCTTTAAAAAAATGGCCGACGTCCAATTTTGCCGGAAATGCCATTAAGTTTGATTTCTTTTAATAGCTCACCTTGTATATTTTGTTTTTGGAATCTAGGGTTAAAATTTGATAAATTTTAATTTTTACAAACTAATTTATATTTTATATAAAATAATTCTATCGCACTTTGACTTTTATGTAAATTATAAAACATCTTGCCAATGAAGAAATTTTGCAATAAAAAAAAAGAGTAACCAATTTCTTGACTAACTTCCACTTCTAAAAAACATATAAGAATACAAACTTTTTGCAACATCACTTTGATTTCCACGGTGTTAGGACATGAATAATCACAATGGATAAGAGTTCCGTTTTCTTTGTCTAGGCAAGAAAAAAATAACTACAATTAAATAGCTGAATAAATTGTAACCAGAACCAAGATTTTTTTTTAATAATGTTTCATTGACACTTTCAAAGATTTTGCAAGAAAATTCGTCTAATAGCTTTCTTGGAATTTTTATAATTTTGATGATTTTAATAATGTACAAGACACTTTCATATAATTTCAGTTACTGTATTGCTATCTCGCAAATCGTTGGTGACATAAAGGTGGTTAAAGATGAAAGAATTGAACATTTCGAAGTCCAATCTGAGGGTGTTTTGAAAACCAAAGTACAAGGGACGGTTTTTGAGGTATTCGATAAAAAACAAATTAGTTTCATTTATGCAGTAATTTTATTTTCGAAAAAGAAAAATCTTCTTTTAGGTTTTTTTAATTTATTAAATGTTGTGCATATGATAGCACATTAAATTTATTCATACGACGTTTCGTAAATGCAGATCATTTTAATGCATATTTAATACTGAATATAATAATTTATTTAGGCTCTTATATTTTTAACCATGTAATTTCAACATGTATTGCGAAACTCACAACCCCAGATGAAAATTTTGACGTTGGTATTTAAGACTAAGTACAGGGTGGCGCAAAATGAACGTTATGACTTAAATGCTTTGTAACTTTTTTATTTTTAAATAAATTTTCAACATTGTTCTATGAAAATGTAGCCTATAAATGGGACTTGATATGAAACTTTGTCTATTTTTATTTAGCAATACATTTCCATTAAAAAGTGGCTATCCTGTATACCTAAAACTAAATCTGAAATTAAGTAATTGATAGAAATTCATTAACAGCATAAACATTTTTCAAATTTATTTTAAAATCGTGAATAGTTCCGAAGGGTTTGTCGTCGTCCAGCAATTTATTGTGATAATTAATTTTTTTTATGTAACTGGTAAATTAATTTCATTTCTGAGTCTGTCTTGAATTATATCCATACATAGGACGCGAAACATTTCAAATATTCTAAATACCAATCAAACTTGACATTCATCCATCTATTTCTTTTATAACCACTGCTGAGCTAAAACTTTCCTACATATTTATACACACATACGTTTCTTTATCTACCAATACATAAAAAAAATCGTTTACTCAAACGCAAACAGAATAGAGATAAAGATGACTGAGTAAGCCTAACCGAGATTTATGATAAAACGTAAACTAAAAATGCTTTAGATGAAGGGAAAGGAGAAAGGGGAGCGAACACGGGAGCAAACGAACGAGAGAATAAATAAACGGAGATGGATATAGCCCTCGGTAGTAGATTATCTGCACAAATGACCTGGAGATTATATTGAAAACGTTCAAACTAAGCTATTCAAATTCGTCATGTTAAAGTAGGCACGTTGTTATTCAAAATTATATATTTAAATATTATTTTTAAATTAATTAAAGATTAGGATTTAAGAAAATTAAACAGATTCAGGATAACCGTTTTTCGTGTAAATATAGTTGGTAACGAATTTGAAATAGGCTAAGGGCTTAGTTGAACTAAATATATCGGTAACTGTCGATAAAGAGGGACACTACTAAGTAACGCGATTTAAAAAGTGACGAACTTTTATGATATTTGAAGTTACATTTTCCTATTTTACAACTTTTGCATAGAACTAGAGCAAACACGGATTGGAAAATAAAAAAAGAGTATATTATTTTTTTTATCAAAACTCAATTTTACAAGAACGATGGCGTCCCAAATTAATTCCCTGCCAATGCCTAGTTATTTTTCCACAAATAACGATTGTTAAGTGCTAAAATGCCTGCTTCTAAATGCTATTGGCAAATGTTCAGCTACTTTGTTAGGCGGTGTCCATATCAATTCTTGAAAGTACTTTGATAACAAAGGAACAGTGCGCATACAAATTTGACGTATATTTACTAACAATGTTCCGAACTGCATGAATAATATTGTATATGGTTCGTTTAGTCTTTTTTTTTTTAAGTATAATAAGAATATGTGTATGTGGAACCGGAATTTTATCTGACAAAATTTGCAAGCAAAAATATGATTCCTTTGGGATACCTACAAGTAGTTTGGGAGTTCTGTCTATTGACATTAAGGTCTCCTTTAACATGCATGCTTTGTACTGAACATCATGGTCCAAATTTGTATCCCAATCGGTAGAATTTTCGAAAGAACAACTCGATTTAAGATTTTCCAAACTGTGTGTTTGTTTAAATTTGATAGGTGAAGTACTTACGTGTGATACTGCTCTTTTTATTGGAGAACATGACACATTATTTGATTTTTTTTTGTTGTATTATCAATTTTTACTTATTTAGATCGAGAAACGTATGTTCTTCTCACTTGGATTTTTTTATGTCTCATATTGTTGTTGGGAATAAGAGTAGGTCCGTCATCAAAGAGCTCGAGTGGATCGTCTTTAATAGCACTACTACTACAATCAACCCACTCTACCGATTCTGAAGTGTATGTGAACTTTGATGAGTATATTTTGGAGGATTTCAACGCGAAGTCTTTCACTGCAGCACCTCTTTCAGGTTTGATAGACTCGGAACCTGACTGCTGGCACTTAAAAATACGAGGTAAAACACTAGGGTGCCTCATTTTCAGGCAATATTTTTTTTTCTCTGTGCTACCTGAAAATCTGAAACTTCATAAAAAATAAAAAATTATGCCGCCAGGTAAAAGGTTCTAAATGCAATAGCGATTTAGCTCATTCAAAAATTCGATTTGAAATATAATTGATATTCATCTTTCTAGCTCTATAACTCAAAAACTGTTGGTCAGAGGCGATTCACTCAAAAAACTTATTGTAGCTGATTTTATGCCCTACAAAAGCTATACACGGGTTTTTCCTAAAAAAAAATTTTAATATCGAAAAATCAAATTGAAACAAAAAAAAAAATTCCCATGTCATTTAAATGG